TGTTGAAAATATGATAATGTCGTGTTTATTTGCTGAGCATTTTCAGTTCGCATTTGTATTTCGGTTATAAACAAATGATATAAAAATAAGAAGATGTGATATGATTGCCAATGAGACAACTCTCCACCAGTGACCAAATGACACAGAAATTAACAACTATAGGTCACCTTACGGCCTGCAACAATGAGCAAAGCCCATCATACCGCATAGTCAGCTATAAAAGGCCCCGAATTGACAAATGTTAAACTATTCAAACGAGAAAACTAACGGCCTGATTTATGTACAAAATAACGAACGAAAAACAAATATGATATACAGCAACAAACGACACCACTGAATTACAGGCTCCTGTCTTTGGACAGGCACATACAGAGTGTGGCGGGGTTTAACATGTTTCGCGGGCGCCCAACCCTCCTCCTAACCTGGGACAGTGGTGCAACAGTACAACACAAGAACAAACTGTACAAAACAATAAACGAATAATAAATATAACATATACAGAAACGAAAAAACAACCACTGAATTACAGGTTCCTGACTTGGGACAGGCACATTCAGAATGTGGCGGGGTTAAACATGTTAGCGGGTGCCCAACCCTCCCTTAACCTGGGACAGTGGTGTAACAGTACAACATATGAACAAACTGTAAAAATCAGTTGAAAAGGCTTAACTCGTCAGATAGATACAAAGCAAAAACAAGTTACAAAAACAGAGTGGACGTGGCAGGGTACTTATACAACCCCACAACAGAAAGACACCAAGTACAGATCTGAGAGTACTCGCAGTTACTGACAGCTAGTTCAAAGCCAATAACAACTTATAAAAAAATCATGCATCTAAGACTAAAATATCAATCAATACACATCCAACATCCAATGAATTTAGTGTAAAGACGTCATAAACAGTCAGAGAAAAACGTGACCTTGTGCAATGCCAAGATACAGGTATCGACAGATTGTAGAACCATGAATATGCAAATGAGTTTGTTTCTGTGTTTACAAATCCAAAAAGCATTTTTATTTTGTTACTTATGCCCTTCAAGGAAATGCTACGGTTAAAATAGGAAGACTACCCAAGTTTGTCAGGAGTGTAACAATTGTGTTAAGATGTTATTTTTTTTTAAGACAATGTTGTTATTGTTGTTTTTTTCTTGAATTTCAGTAAACACCAACTGTTGTAGATTATCAGTAACAAGCATACCATTAATATGGCCTTCATTGCCTTTGTATGCTCAATACGTTTATGTCAGGAGTCAGGAGGACATAAAAGGTGCTGTTAAACTGGAGGTTATAATGTGGATATTATATGGAGTCAACAGCTATATCTCCTTTAGAGTATTGTTATATTTGGTTGAATGACATTCAGCCATTTTTGTTTCACATGCGACGAAATTAGCAGAATGCGAGACATAAGGATTGCTTTTCCGGCTCCGGCGTCAACAATTGTTAAGTTTTCTGCTTAAGTTAGTTTGATAGGAACTACTTGTGATAGATCATTGATATTTAAGATAAAGTTGCAATATTATCAGTACATATCAGTTTGACGGCTATTTTGAGGCCATGGTCCAGTGACTTTGAATTAATTAGCAATTTTCAATGTTAAGTTCTCTGCTTAAGTTAGTTTGATAGGATCTACTTGTGATAGATCAATGATATTTTGTATGAAGTTGCATTACTATCAGTTCATATCAGTTTGATGACTATTTCAAGGCCCTGCCCCCCAGGTCATGGTCCAGTGACATTGAATTAATAAGCAATTTTCAATGTTTTTTTCTGCTAAAGTCAGTTTGATAAGAACTACTTGTGATAGATCAATGATATTTTGTATGAAGTTGCATTAATATCAGTACATATCAGTTTGACTCCAATTTTGAGGCCCTGCCCCCTAGGAAATGGTCCAGTGACTTTGAATTAATTAGCAATTTTTAAAGTTTTTCTGCTTAAGTTATATTAATAGGAACTACTTACAATAAACATTATTTTCTATAAAGTTACATTACTGTCTGTAGTGTACATCTCAGTTTGTTGACCATTTTTAGGCCCTGTCCACTAGATCATGTTCCAATGACTGAATTAATAAGCAATGTTGCTGGCCATCAAATTGTCTTTTTCTGAATTTTATGCCAATAGGCAAGACATATCTCTGTGTCAACAGTTTATAATTTATGAGGACAGAATATATGGTCCTTTGTCCGGCAACATACGTAAAGATTTTGAAAGAAGACTTCACAAGTTTTATATTCAACTTATCTTTTACTCCCTCTTCATATGTTCCTTCAAATCTATGTGTAGTTGTAATGATGAATACCAAAGAGTACCACATGTGTAGTTGTAATGATGAATACCAAAGAGTAACACATGTGTAGTGGTTATGATGAATACCAAAGAGTACCACATAAATCTTGGCTTTGGATCATCTTTTCCAACAATTTAGCTACCAAAAGTCCATGGAAAAATAATAGATGGAGATCAGTCAAATTTCCAATACTGTAACAATTACAGTTTCCATTAAAGTTTGGTTTTATTTGGACATAGGGTTTAAATGTCTCATCAAACCAAAGGTTTTTGAAACTATCTTTCATGGTATGATTTTACAGAAGACGATGTGGAAATACCTAGGGGTGTAAATATCTCACTACAATTCTTACGCTGCTAAGGAATAAAAGAGCAAAAGGAAGTTACAATATTATTATCTTTTATTGATCTTTAAGTAAAATTCACTGGCATATTTCAATTGGAATTATACATTTTTATCTTTAAAATATGCTTAAGTTACCATTTGGCTTTAAGTGTAACATTCATCAGTATAATTCTAACACAAAACTTTGATCTAAATTATAACCCTTTGACAGATTTCTAGAGGAGATTATTAAGGGATGTGTTTATCAATGCAACAGCAAAGATATAGCTCGTTAAACATTCTAAGATAAGAAGACAAGACCATTAGATAGATAAAGAAAACAACCACATCAGATTTTTATTTCAGATATTCCTACCTCCATTTAGAAAAAAAATATTAAAAATCATATGAGGGTTAATAATTAAACACAAAAACCCCAAAATATATATCTGAAATTGTTAGTTAAGTAAACTTTGCACATCAAAAGAGAAATATTTTAAAGCAAAATAAGCACAACAAAGTTAAAATCTGTCTTTTAAAAACACAATGAAACTTCAATTCATCATTTTATAACTCTGTTTCTAAATTTGTTATTTTCATAATAATCCATTAGGTAACAGAAAAAAGTAAATTTCAATACTAACCAATTATTATCATTATGTAACATTATGTATGTAGATCACAAACAAATTTAATCTGTTTTTCTTGTTTCAATATACATTAAAAAAACAGTTGCATTGATTTTTTTGGTATATTGAAATTGTTGCATTGAATTTGGCAGACTTTTTTGTTATTGACACATGGCTTATATGGAAAGCCAAATAAAATAAATGGGGAATGTGTCCATGGGACACAGATGATGCCCCTGCTTGCATAAAACATTATAAAGGGACATAACTCAAGAACGGTAAAAGCGACGTTACCCAAATTTGTACTTGATCTGAATTTTGTAGTAATAAGCATTATGTATAAGTTTCATAACATTTGGTTTAGGCAAACTAAAGTAAGAGAAAGGAAATGAAAAATTCAACAATTTTCCATTTAATTCTATAACCGTAAAAGTGACGCCACCAAAATTCAAGCTTGATCTGTGTTTTGTGGTAATAAGCATTGTGTATAAGTTTCATAACATTTGGTTGAGGCAAACTTAAGTAAGAGAACGAAAATGAAAAATTCAGCAATTTTTCCATTTTGAAGGGGCATAACTCTAGAACGGTAAAAGTGACGCCACCAAATTTCAAACTTGATCTGTGTTTTGTAGTAATAAGCATTGTGTATAAGTTTCATAAAATTTGGTTGAGGCAAACTAAAGTTAGAGAACGGAAACCAATTTTGGGACATACAGACAGACAGACATACAGACGGACAAGGGTAAAACTTAATGCCCCTTTCGCTATGGTGGGGGCATAAAAATGTAAACAAAACAAATAATAAAACTAGAATCATTGAGAAAGATCTAACATGCATTTTATATCACCTAACAAATTTTAGTATGACTCACCGGACATTGATAAACAATACTGATATTATACCAGTTTAACACATCTGTTGCACATATACTATGATGCTGCTTTCAATAAATGTGATTCAGTCTAAAGTACAAGTACAAGTGAAATAAAACTATGTCCTCTAGAGCCAGACCATATCACAAGATATAGTTTTGAAACTTAACACCAAACTTATGAGTTAGGCATCGAATAGCTTGGTTAAAATTGTTCTAATTTAAATATATCTCAGCACTCTTCTTTGAAATTCTAAGAAATCTTTTGTTCTGAAGTGGAAGCTATCTTGGATGCAGGACAGAGTTATTTGATGCTTTTATCAAAGTAGAAAATTGACTTCACAAGTTTGTTACAGGCACAATCAGTAACTAATCAGAATTTAATGATGTTTCTATTTAAAGTAAGGGTGGCCATATTAGATGGGAATTAGAGAAATGAAAGCTTAAGAGCAAATACAATGAAATTTTCCATATAATTAATATCTACAAGGGGCATTACTTTTTTTATAATATTTGATTGGCACTGACTATTGAACTTGTCTGAGACATTGCTGATATAAACATTTGATAAAAAAAAAAATTGAAAAAAAAACCTGGCAAGAATTGTACACATGAAAGCGCTATCAATGCAATTTTCCATATAATTAATATTTACGAGGGGCATAGCTCTTAAAAATAATTGAGCGGCACTGATTTTTTAAGAACTTGTCGAGACATTGCTGATATAAACCTATGATATAAGTTTTATAAAAATCTGGCAAGAATTGTACACATGAGAGCACTAATAAGACCGGACGGAAAGATGGACGGACATACGACCGGTATTTCTATGTGTGATGCGTTGCGGGGGGGGGGGGGGGGGGGGGGGGGGGGGGGGGAAACGTATTTAAATGTTTGTAAGCAATACATAATCTTAAAAACATATTCAATTGTGTATGAAACTGAAATAACTGCAAATAAAACATCTGTAACACAGCAATCTCATTTTATCTTCAAACTGGCATGAGCATTTTACCAATAAACCATTAAAAGTAATAAATCAGACTAAACATCTTACTCAAAAACATTTATCTCAAATATCTGGCAACCTCATTATATGTATACCAAGTAAAACAACAGCTTTTAATTTTTCATAAACAATATGTGTAATATATCACTCATAAAAACAAATGCTACATAAATTATCAATGGTATCTAACTAAAATTTATCTGTCTATACATACTATTATTTTGCCTAAAACTACTAAAATGTTGATTTTACCATGGATACATTTAAGTAAATTAAGAAACCAGTTGAGATTGAACAGCAGAGTTTGGAGTTAAATTTATTACTGTGAAATCAGGCATTGGTAGGAAAGACTCATTTTTTTTTCTCAATAACTAGTAATCTTGTCTTTATACTAAAATTGCAAAAATGTGCATTTTAAACAGACACATCTTTATCATATTTACCTTTTTGAAATCAATTATGAAAAACTAGGAATTATTAGTTTAATTACTGTAATTGAACATTTTTAGCTAATACATGAATTGAAATTGCTTAAATTGATTAATCTGCTAATTGTTTTTGTGGGAGTAAATAGGATAGTAAATGCTGTATCAAAACCTTGGAATGTTCAGGGATAAATTCTTTACAATTTTAATGATAAATGAATGTTTATGACGAAAACTTTGATAAATGTTTTCATAGAAATAATGTATACCAGATATAAGTATAATACTGATTTTTATTTGATTTCAAATATATATTTTTTTTTAGAAAAATAATCTTGAATAATAAGATTACAAGGCCATCACAAAGAAACAATTCAACAAATTTCAAAGTGTATTTCTGCCATTTAAGGTCATCATTTTGAAATATCCAACTTTTGAATTGAATAAACTAAAGTTTTCCAAATGAAATCCCTGCTATAATTACCGTCTTTATTTCATATATAAATCAGAACATAAAAAATCTGCAGGATATCTATATAATACTCTAATCTCTCAACAAGTTAAATCCCTTTAAAAATAAAAATAAAACAACAGATATATGTAACAATAAAATGCTTTCATTGTTAGAGATTCTATGACAATTTTGTATGAGAAAAATACCCTTTCCAATAATGTAAATGCAAATGTAATTACTTTTCCATGTAAGCATGCTTATACAACCAAATCTATTTCACAAAATATACTGTGAACATGAAAGGGAACTAACTCAACAAAAGGGCATACAATGATCTCTGTGTCCTGAGGTAGTCAAATATTTTGGCGTACATAATACTGTGGATTCATTTATTTTCGTGGGTATCAATTTCCGTGGATTGAGGCAAACTTGCATTTTCGTGGGTATTTGATTTCGTGGTTTTCCAATCTCTGCATACAAAGCCTATAGAAAATTTGTCATTCGTTGAAAATTGAATTCGTGGTTCACATGTACCCACGAAACCCACGAAAATTGGTATCCAACGAATAATAATGAATCCACAGTAAGGGTTTGTGACAATCTTAAGCAAAATCTGTAAGTAACTTTCAGAAACTGGGATTTAACTGGGCTTATTTCTTTTTTTAAAATTTATGAATGAATGCATTGAACTATTTGAAAATTTGCACACTACTCAACTAGTACATATAAAAACTTTGCAAAATACATCCTTCCAAAGCAAACTGTAATAGTTGTGGTAGATTCTCTTGAAATCATAAACAATAATTCCTTATTATCAAAGTTTAAGGGAAATCCATGAATGCATGGTTGAATTAAAGTTTAACATGTTTACCAAACTTTATATTTGAATACCATAAATTTTAATTGACATCATAGCATTGAAAAAAGAGGGATCCAAAGATAAATCTGAAGCACCATAATATCTTCATCATTGACTAGCAATGTACAATCAATCTTAAAAAATAACACTGTGGTATCAATTTGAAACACAGGATAATATTGGTAAATGAAACACTAATCATCCAAATACAATAAGTCATTTCTTATTTCAATCTTGACAAATTTCTTTACTGAAACACCATACTATATTATTTTTCCCTTTTCTCTAGACCAGCCCCAACTTACCAAAAATAATCAAGCTGATTAAGAAATACAGATCCTGTGTTTATGCTTTACTTACAAGGATCTGACAACACTCTGTTCCACTTTCTGCTCTGATAATTATTACATCAGCCAATGAAATTCATTCTTCAAATTTTAGAAGATGTGTAGTGTATCATTAAGACAAAACCAGATGATCCAAAAGGTCTTTCAAACAGAGAGTGGAGGAAAGAGCATTGTCTAAGTGTGGACATAGGATCTATTATTTTAATCAGATTGAAAAACAATTACTGTAAATTCAGAAATTATTGCGAGGTTTTTATTAATGTGAATAATGCGACTTGGTGATTACTGCAATAATAAGAACTTACATTCTGATATCCGATACGCGTTTCTGTATGCAGATTTTCCTGAAATCGCAATAATTAATCTTGCATTTTTGTCCATTCTTAAAAAATTAAAATAATAAATTTTGTATTTACAGTATCTTATCATTTCGTTATGACACAATTTTTTATGCTGAAGATACCAAGTATAATTGTCCCATTTATCACTAACCATCCAACTTTAGTTTTAACATTTCATTTTGGACAATACTCATGATTTTTTATACAGGGAGATTCTACTATTTAACATTCCTATATATGTGTAATCTCCACAAATAAAACATAATTGAACAAAAAGTTAAAAATACAATTTCACGTAATAAAATATTAAAAATATGCCATTATCTGAATAAAGACAGTATCCTCTCAAAATCTTAAATCATTAATAAACAAATGTAACACTAAAATAACTTATGATGTAAAACACAAACAGCTGCTTTTGTAATCATAAACATGGCAGTAACATTTAACACAGAGAATACATTTGATCACCTACAGAAAGTACCATGTACACTTGAATATTAAAAATATTATTATCGGTACATGCAAATAAAAGAGCACCAATCAATGACTTTTTCCCTAAACTGAAAAAAAAAAAGAATGCTTTAGTGATGATTATTGTATTAACAAATAACCCCAAAGAAAAGAAATATTTTAAACCTTATACCATGCAACTGATTAAAAATGTTAACACTCTTATTTTAACAACTCAATCTTAGTTCAGAAAGTCCAGTGGTTTTCTATGCTATGTTTCATGATTATCTATCTTCTAAACCTGGCATTGGGAAACCTTCAGCAAATTCCTCAACTTCAGATCTTAGAGAATCCAGCTGTTTAATGATGCCTGCATCACTTATAACAAATTCTTTGAATTCCTTTAATGTTTCTGAAAATTCAAAAAAATATCATTAAAACTAAAAACGCATATAATATTATAGTCGTATGAAAAGTGTTTCTGGTGATTATAATGTAAATGAAACATTGAACTAATGCATGCATATATACAAAACTAAGTCCTCAGTGCACATGTTTTACATTTATTAAGAATCCATAATCTATAATTGACAAAAAATGTTTCATTCGGTGATTGTTGATCAAAAACTTTGGGTACTAATTTACTTTTGGGTTTTGGGTATGAAAGTTTACCAACTTATTCTTGATAAACAATCAACACAGAATCATGGAGCTATTGAAAAATAAGTGAGATTATAGAGCCATGTTTGTTTTGTATATATTTTCAATGCATAACCATTTGTTAATTAAACTTTGTCATGGCAGTTTTCAAATTTGGTGTATTAAATTTTTTCTTTCTGAATTCTATCTTCCTTCCACATTTGTTTACTTTTTCTTTTATCACAGTTTTTCCCTTTGTACTTGTGCTTTGCGACTGCCGAATTACTAAAAATAAACTGCTTCTCTGAGCGCAGCTTGATACGACCGCAGAGGTCCAACCCTGAACAGTTGGGGCAAAAATGGACACAATATTAAAGCTTGATACAGGTCTGAATTAGGATTGTAATTAAATATTTGACATATTATAGGTTTCTGAATAAATCTAGTCAAAGAACTTGAAATCGGTTATATGAATTGAATTTATATTCAATTAAAGATTTCTTGCTGTTGTGTAATACACTGTGCTGTTGCGCAATACTTAGTAAATCTGTTTTCAGACTATAAACAAATAAAGTTCAATTAATTCTCAATGTCAAATTAGAAATTTATGAAAATCAAAAGGGAGCTTACATCAATAGATATAAACAATTTACCAAAGTTTCATGAGAATTGCTGACAGCATTTTTGAGTTATTGTCCGAAAACTGGAAAATCCCCCCTTTTTTAATGAATAAAACCCCATAACTCAGAAATGTAAAATGTAAAATTTATAAAATTCTAAAGGGAGCTTACATCAATAGATATAAGCAATTCACCAAAGTTTCATAAGAACTGCTGAAAGCATTTTTGAGGTTTTGTCCAAAAACTGGAAAATCCCCCTTTTTTCTGAATAGAACCCTGTAACTCGGAAAAATCTAAAATTTATAAAAATCTAAAGGGAGCTCATGTCAATAGATATAAACAATTCACCACAATTTCTTGCAAGTTAGTGAAAGCATTCGTGAGTTATTGTCCGAAAACTGGAAAATCCCCCTTTTTTTAATGAATAAAACACCATAACTCGGAAACGTAAAATCTAAAATTTATAAAAAACGAAAAAGAGCTCACGTCAAAAGATATAAACAATTCACCAAAGTTTTATGCAAATTGGTTAAAGCGTTTTTGAGTTAATGTCCGACATGTTTTGTCGACGGACGGACAGAAGGACAGACGGACGGACGGACAACGGTATACCATAATACGTCCCATAAACGGGCGTATAAAAAGGTATCATTGCTAAGGTTACTGCATCAGCGGTTCAAATAGCAGTGGTCTGAGGTTCGTGACCTTCTATTTTTGGATTCAGACCTTCCTGCCGGTTGTTAGCTTAACCCAACAGACTTTCGTATTTAGCAGGTTAAAAAAATTCCAAAAGCAGTTTGAATAAAATCTATATATCTAGTATAAAAATAATCTAAAAATATGCAAATTTGCTTAGATTCTCCACAATTGATTTGATGTGCAATCATGTGATTAGGAAACTTGAGAATATATAATTCAAACATAACTAGTAAACAGTATGAGTCTTTTTCATTTTGGGATCACCTCTTCCAAAACAAAACCTGATGAAATGGGTGATACAGCGGGGGTGACTGATGAAAGGCAGCCGAAAAGACAGGATCTGACTAAAGACCAAAAACATGACAGGAAAAAGCGAGAACATATATTTTTGCCCCAATGGAAGGTTAATCGTCCTTGGTTGAATTTCAATGAGGCACCTGGTTTAATGTTGTGCAAGTATTGTGTCAGATATCCACACACAGAGAAAGGGAAAATGCCCTGGTTCGTGGGACAAAAAACTTGACCCAATAAAAAATCATGAAACTACCGCCCAACATCTATCTTGCCAAAAACAGTGGTTAACAGAAACTGATCCCAAGTTTGAAAAAAAGTTTACAGAAATAGCTCTAACTTTCTGTTATCAATTTACTTGTATCGTTTTGAAATCTCTTCCTGGTTCAGAAATCACATCAGTTCTAATATTGATTATGAGCTATTCAAAGGTATGTCTTAATTAGAAAAGCAATATAGTAATTTAGATTCTTTAATAATTATAGTGTGTAATAAACTCTTCTTTTTTTAATGATAAATGAGGAGAATAAAGAGTACTGTTATCAATCCACGCTTGTCGGTGATAGGTAAAATTATTTCTCTAAATCAGTTCCGGATATTTAATTTTATATTTTTTTTAACTTTTTCTCTATTTTTTTACTAGATTATACATTTTCAAACATAAAAATTATTACAACAATTTGACAACTTTATCAAGTAGACATTTATACTTCGTAGGTTTACTAGTTGCCTGTATTTTGTAACTGTACATGAATTCTGCTTTAAATACAGAATATACATCTAAAGATTTTGTTTTCTGTTCGGACATATAATTTGCCTTGTATATACAGAACATTATTATATATTGTAATCAAATAATTAATTTCATAGTGTTGATCATCATTTATTTTATAACCCCATACTAAATTTTTCAATGTTAGAATATTTTCATTAATATTCAGTTTTTCAAGGAGTTTTTAAACTCTACTCCAGAAAGTATCAAGAAAGTGGCAATTAAGAAATATGTGATCATAATCTTCAGTGGTGTTCCAATATTGACTATTTGAAATATTGCAGATCTTCCACTTTTTCAATAAAATTTTACAAGGTAGAATAAAGTGTAGCAATTTCCAACAGCACACTTTGTACTTATTATCTTTTAAATAATGATGAACAAACTTTAACATATTACATGAAAGACTCTTAATGTATTCAAGGTTAAACATTGTCTTCCATCTGTAAAAACCAACAGGTATTTCAATTTCATTCTGAATTAATGTTATAAATTTTCCTGGTGTCCACATTTTTTAAATTTTCTTTATTATTACAATTATTATTAATATATATTACATAAGTTGTTGTTACTTTAGTTTTCTTTGAATTTTCCTGCTGTAAAATATTTATCCATTCCCTTCGAAATCTTTCTTAAATAAGCAAAATTCTGGCATCCAGTTATTTTTTATTCTAAGCTTTTGTAAAATAAGATTTTCTTCTATATTACCATTTTCATCAATAATGTCATTAACATAGATAATATTGCTATTTATCCAGTTTTGGAATAAAAGGCATTTATTTTTTTATCTTAATGAAATGATTTCCCCAAATAACTTCTTGTCAAATGGATCTAAAGTTTCTTGGCTGCTGTTAATTTTAATTAATTATCCATGCTTTAGCCATATTCAAATAAAATTCTGGCAGCTTCTTAAAATCTGGAATAGAATCGATATTACCAATATTCATATGAAAGATAAGGAAATCTTTTCCAAACTTATTAAAATAAAATAATGGTATAATTTTCCAGTTATTTAGATCTCCAGTAATTAACCTTTTGATCCACCCAATTTTGATAGATTCTATGTATTTATCTATGTTAATCATTTTCAAACCACTGTCTAGTTTTTCAAAGCTTAGTACTGTATGTTTAACTTTTTCTCTTTTGCTTTTCCATAAAAAATTATAATTTTTAAAATTTAACAATATATTCTTTTAAAAAAAGTAATATTGGGTATAATCAATGATTTGATAACTGTTATTTTGACCATCATGGTTAAATGTCTTTTCTCCCAATTCTTAATAATCATTTCAGATTTTTCTAATTGCTTTTCAGCATCAAGTTTTTGACATTCATTTTTGTTACACCCGAAAAAAATTCCTAAACATTTCACTGGTTTGTCTGTAAAGTTTATGTTTTCATATTTTTCTTTGCAATGTTTCTGTTTCCCTAACCAAATGCCTTCTGTTTTTGATCTGTTTAATTTAAGCCCTGATAATGGACAAAAGAAAAGTGTGGTGTCATCTGCAAGTTGACTGATTTTTAATGAATTTGTTTTCCCATCTATCTTGATTTCAAATCCTTTAAGACTATGGTCTTGCCTTATCCTACATGCTAATATCTCGACAACAATAACAAAAATTATTGCACTGCACTGACGTCCTTGTCTAATCCCTCGATGAATGTTGAGGGGTTCAGATATCCACCCATTATTGATCACTGAGCTTTTAATATCTGTATATAAAGTTTTTATCCATTTAAGCATAGAATCTTGAAAACCTAATTTTTTAAAGCTAAGAACATGAAATCCCATTCTAAAGAGTCGAAAGCTTTAGAAAAGTCTAAAAATAATAATGCTCCTTCTATATTAAATTTTTCTGCATTATCAATTATATCCTGTATTTGTCTAATGTTATAACCTATATATCTATTTTTAACATACCCATTTTTATCTTCATGGATAATTTTGGTAAATCATTTTTGATGCACTGAGCTAATGAATATGCTATTAATTTTGTATCAACATTTAATAAAGCTATTGGTCTATAATTAACTTAACAAAGCGGATAATTTTTTTATGGATAAGAAAGATAACTCCTAATTACTGAGTAGTTAACTCCCCTTTTTTATATGAAAAACTAAATGTGGATACAATAAACTCCTTTAATTCTTCCCAAAAAGCTCTATAAAATTCTATGCTTAATCCATCAATTCCAGGTGCTTTGTTCAATTTCATCTTACATAATGAATCTGTACATTCTTCAATAGTTAACCTTCCCTCCATAATATCTTGTGTCGTTTATTTATGATCAATATTTGTATCATTAATATAATTGTTAATAAATTTTATATCTGGATTTGTACTTTTATAAATACCTTTATAGAACTCTTTTTCTATTTTTAAAATTTTGGATGATTCAGTTTGTATCACCCCTTCTTTATCCCTCAGAGCAGTTATAGTTTTTCTTGTTTTTCCAACCCCAAAAAGAATTTTGTATTTTTTTCTCCTTCTTCTACCTATATAATCCTCAACCTTATTTGAGCTCCTTTTGTTTTTATTTCATATATTTTTTTTAATTTACTTTCATTAATAATTAATTCTTCTTGAAAATGTTTTATTACCTCATCTTTACAATGTCTGTTAATATTTTTCATTTAATTTTTTAATCTTATTTTCCAATACATGTATTTCACTTATATTTTGTTTTGCTTTTCTTTTACAGTATGCAATCATGTATTCTCGGACCTCAATTTTGAATAAGTCCCATTGATGTCCGATATTCTTGGTAAGTTTTGTTTTATTTTTATATTGTTGAATTAGGCCATTTATTATGTTTTTATATTAAAGATTATCCAAAATACTGTTATTAATTTTAAAATATCCTTTCCCTTTTGATTGTGATCTCCCTTTTAACTTTAATGATATAGCTTGGTGGTCTGTGTGAGATATAAGTGCAGGTCTTATATCTGCTGAGCATATATGTGATCTTATTTCTGGGCCAAGGATCCAGAAATTTTTTCACACAATTTCGGTCATTTTGAGATGATTGAAAAGTTGGTGCCCCTTTCGGATTGTTGATGCCAAACTACATTCATAGCATCAACGAATTTGTATTGATGTTTCATCGCATTTACTAAGTAAATTTCTTACCATTTTTCTAAAAATCTTCAAGAACAGTTTAAAATTGAAATGATTTTAATGACTCAAAATGGTTAATTCTCAGACATTTCTTACGTTTCTTTCGATTTGACAAAATTAAAACCAGAAGTTTTGCGATAATATTAAAGTACGAATAATTCCGGATTCATTTCCGGGATTCGTTTTGTTTATCAAATTGACAGGAAATCACCGGCTTCTTTTTATTTTATTACCTTTAAAAGTGTTTGAATATAACAGATTATAGTTGCACTCGTTTATTTTAGCATGAAATCAATTTGCCTTTTACAATTGAATATTTAATTTGCTGAAGACAATTTCACGCATGTGTATTACATAGTAAATAAAGCATGTGTTATTCATGAAAAAATACTTTTTTCTACGTCAATTAAAGTAAGGTTTATTTTTAAATCAGAATTGATGATTGTCTTTGGTGAAAGTAATTAAATAATGAATTCACTTGTCAGGGAATTTTAATTTCTTAAAGATATTATTCTGAGCTTGTGATCAATGTGACCAATTGTCAGGTGTGAATTAAAACCACAGGTAAAAAGTGATTAGCGATCATTTACCAATGTTTCCCGGAGGCATTGATATAGATATTAGTAGGGCCCTCAGGATTATCAAACTACTGGAGTGGCAGTTTTATTACAGGAAAGGGATTATAAACAAAAACAAGTGATCACAAGTGGAAAATGGCAATTAAGAAACCCGATTTCAAACATTAAGTCAATGAAATGACCGAAATTATTTCTGTTAAAAAATAAAATTTGTCCTAAATCCCAATTACTCATTTAGGACATATAGCTTTCATCTTAGGACATGACTGGCAAATATGACAGTTTCCTGACCCTTGTTCTGGGCATATAAGAAAGAAATCTATGCTAGAGGCTTCATGCATATTATTTTTTCGCCTCCAGTTAAATAGTGTATTGTTACAATGTGTCTCTCTCCAAATGTCTATCAACTTTTGTGTTTAAATTAAATTTTTTAAACCGTTAACTGGTTTTTGTGTTTTTTTATTTGTACTATATTTTTTTCTGTCAATATTTGATAGAGTATCATTCATATCTCCACCAACTATGACCATCCGAAAACTATTTTTCAATATCATATCTTTTACTTTTTTGAAAAATGCATTTCTATTTTTTGGTAAATTTGGTGCATAAATTATAGATACTAGTACAAAAACAGTAAGACATGATGAGTGCTTTGGAAGGGTAAGCATTTTCTGTTTTAATAAATTGAATTTTCAAGTACTAAAGTTAGACCTTTCCATCTTTTCGGTTAAAGGTCCTGGACCTTCCATTGCCTATTAAAAGTAAATTTGAACCCCTGCTGCTAGTGATGCATACGCAAAAGCTGTCTGTGAATTAGAGTAGGAGAAGACAATATTCAATAGCAGTACATTTGAAGATTTTTATAAAATAAAGGATTTTCTTTTAAAAGGCAGTCTATGTACACATGTTTAAGAGTAAAACTTAGCCATACAAGTATACAATACATATTCCTCTTTCTTGTTACATGACTTTAACTATATCCAATAACTACAGTTGGCATGTATAAAAGTATTATATATCCCATCTTTACTCACACCAAAACATCTTTAATACCTTAGTTCTAACAGGCTAATAAACCTTTAACATTTTCACCTCTGAAAGCAAAGACAGGAAGCTCATCATCACTGGATAAAGTACACATATAACAAAAATAACAAAAACTTTTATTGTGGAAACTGTTTAAATTAGATTTCAATATGTGGTTGAAATTCAATGTGATATCAATATATCAAGACTCACTTGTATGTTTTTGTGCATCCAAACATATATGGACTCCACGATCTAGGTATTCCATTACTCTTTTAAAATCAACCTCTTTTAATCCACGAGATGTTAAAGATGGTGCTCCTACAAAAGTAATAGACCTCTGCATAAGAATATAGAAAATGACTGCATTAAAAAATTAGTCTTATATACAAGGCATTAATTTGTTGCCTAACAACAGTATTAATTACCCTGGTAAACAGTAAATTTCCTTGCATAAAATAAAACATCCTTATTTTTGGTTAATGAAGCCTCAGAAATTAATATGATAAAAAAAGCAAAGATGTGGAGTATAACATCACTACAGTCTATGCAAGCTTGGATAATTTATGAATTATCAACAGGTCTAATGAGATTTTCAGATTACATCGTGAGTGCCTACTGTAAAAGACCCTCTAAATTCTTTTGAAACCACATAACATGATAAATAAATGGGGAATGTGTCCATGGGACACAGATGATGCCCCTGCTTGTATATAACGTTATAAATGAGTAACTCAAGAACATTAAAAGTGACGCTACACAAATTCATACTTGATCTGAGTTTTGTGGTAATAAACATCTTCTTATATCTATTGTGTATAAGTTTCATAACATTTGGTTGAGGCAAACTTCAGTAATAGAATGGAAATGAAAAATTCGCTATGGCCGGGGCACAAAAATCAATGCTTCTTAAAGCAGCAGCAACAACCCATTTTAAAGTTTTTAGTTTGACCATGCAAACTTACAACTGCCCATATTCAAGATAAGCATCTTACCACAATACCCATGTGGTAAAACGAAACAAAACTCTTGTACAGATAAGCAAATCAACATTTTACACATAACTGAAGCATGCATCTTCTTATTTATATATAAAATGTTATGAAGACCAAACTGTTCTATAATTCATCTCTCAATGACATATGATTTCTTAAAGCTAGGCCTTCAGAGTTCAGACAAAACTCAATCAATTCTTATTGATTTCAGAAAAAAACTGATGCGTCAGCAAGGGTCCTGAAGAAGAATACACAAGTAGAGATCTTTTCTCTGGCTAAAATGTTTCTATTGTTTTTTTTACAAACGAAAGTGAACCAACGCCTGGTGAGTCTGTAGTGAGTTAGAGTCCCTGAAGTGGATACCTCGGGTATGCAGGGTCGTTATGATGAAACACAATAATGTAGAAAGTCCTGATGACGGTGCCCTAGGCACCGAAACATGTCGATCAATAAATTTTCTGTAGCAGTCCCTCCAGTGTTGTTGTTATAAGACTTTCTACATTATTGTTTTTTTTGTATAATTTATCTTTGTTCTTGGCATTGTACAAATCAAGGTCTTCCTGTACTGATTATGACATTGCTGTATGAAGAATTCAATGCAGTACAGAAACTGATATTAAGTGTAGGACTAGATTTCTTATCAGCAGATTGGCTACTTTGAGTTTGCTTTCAGAAACTGCAAGCATTCAATGATTATATGTTTTTGTCATCTATTTTACCGTTATTTAAGAGTTTAAAAGTGCTTTTTATGAACAGGTTATTCATGTATGTTCTTTTACATATATTTTGTTAATCTTCTGATCAAGATTACAATGAGGGAGGATCTTAGACTAGCGACACCAACGAGCATGTATTGCTCACGTTGCATTTTTTGAGTAAAACTTATTCAGTGCAGCAAGAATATTGCTTTGAATGCATTGAATAGAAACTGTGTGCGTTGAAATCTTGTCTACCTGATTATTTTTGCTGGTTAAAGCTCCTCTTTATTTCTTAAAAGTTTTCAAGATTATAACCCTTTGGGCTCTATCTGCTTTACTTTTCAAGTGAAATGAGATGCAATTAAGCTCAGAAGGGGTTTATTCAAGAACTGAGATTTTGTTGCTTATGTCACAGCTATAGAAGAGACATATTTTATTATTCCAATTATAATGGCATGATTAGCAGTATAACCATTTGTAAATAAATAAACAAGTTGATTACTGTAAATTCAGAAATTAATGCGTTCATTTATTATTGCGATTTTTGAAGAATGGACAAAAATGCGAAATTAATTATTGCGATATCAGGAAAATCTGCATACATATATATGCGTCAGATATCAAAATGCGAGTTCTTATTATTGCGATACTCACTGAGTCACAATATTCGCATTAATAAAAACCTCGCAATAATTTCTGAATTTACAGTAATAAACATAACATGATTTATATAATTGACATAATAAAAAGCTCAAGTTAAAATGGTCATCCAAATCATTGCTAAGCATCTCTATATGGTTAAGGAGAGACAACTCTTATAACAATGTTAAATACCATACCAACACTGACATAAGATTCAATAAGCACAATACACACCTAAACGTAGACCACCTGGTGTAACAGCACTCTTGTCACCAGCACATGTGTTCTTATTTACTGATATTTCTACCAATTCTAGAACTCTATCTACTCTTGATCCATCTGTTCCTTTAGGTCTAAGATCTACTAACACTAGATGATTATCTGTTCCACCTAAATAAGAAATGAATATTGGCTTAAATTCTTTACAAAATCAAACATTCTTAACAAAATTCTATCTAAATAATTTTATAGATATTAGTGCTAGGAAAACATATTACAATGGGTGTATTCTCCCCCTTATTGACTACTGCATTGTTCTATGGAATTGACTACCATACTAAATGTGTAAAGTGTAAAACACTTTTACTTTTAAACAAAGTATCAAGAAAACTTGACATAGTCCAGATAAGTTCATATGCTGGTAACTGATGTTACATTTTTTTTCTTCTTACATGCAATTCTTGCACTGAATTGCACTGTTTAAGCCTTGCAAATGATACACAGAACTACATGATTGTTAATTGATTATGTGTAAAACATCTGTTTTGGGCTAAATTGTATGAGTGTCTCTTGCTAAGGAAAGATTAATTATTGTAACTATTTGTGTTTACCTACTTTAAATAAAGAATTTTTTATTATCATTATTATCATTGCACACTCAACTAAATATAATCAGCTGGTCACCAAAGTGATTGTCCAAAAGGTCATATCATAAGAGTTGATGAAAAGTCATGTGTAAAAGTTAACACTATGGTTGGTAAGAAACATGAAGTTTTCAAACAAACAGGATACATTGTAATTTTATGGTTCAAATTCTCAAAGTGGGACTTCAAAGAATTACTTTTATTTAAACAACTACAAAAAAAAAACACGTTTTAAAAAAAATGTGTTTGGAATGGATGTCCATAAGAACACTGCATGATCAGATCAACTGGATACACAAACCTGGTTTTACCTCATACAAATTTGAGTTGTTTCCCCTTGATTGCAGGGTTCTCACTAAGACAAGTCCATAAGTCTTGGACTCATGAAAATCTGTCTGGACTCCTCATTTTCAAAACTGGTGAGTCCAAAGATGCAACAAGATTGTAAAATGTTGTATAAGCTGAGCACATATATTAGCATTAATATCAAAAGTTAGAAAACAATCTAAATCAGATGTCATTTCCGTACTCTTTTTGTAATGGAGACTGAAAAATGAAACCGATTTGCCGGAGTCTAATGTATATAGCAAATTAAATTTCATCTTTTCATCGTTAAACTGGCCATGGCCATGGCCAGAAAGGGCAAGTCCCTGGACTCACCTTCAAAAATCATTAGTGAGAACCCTGAAATTGATTTAACTTTGACTCCCCTAGAGTTAAAACTCAAAATTTTATCACTGTTCTGTCATTTCAAGATAATGAGATTTGACTGTACAAAGTGTTATAGTCTAAAGGCATTCCTAAAAGGTATACCTATGTGCAAAAAATTGACAGTAATTTTAAATATGGATCTGAGGATAAAAGCAAACTCGGCTTTTTCAATTAAGTATCCTTTATTAAATCTAAAACCTAGTATAAGTCAGGTAGATACATTTTTTCTTTTAAATAATAAGTTTATAAAAAAAGTTTACTTTTCAGACATTTGCTTCATAGTGTTTTTACAAATCCATTTTTAATTGGTAAATTATGTATGAAATATAAAAGTGTAGTTGGAACATGAATGCCTCAGACCCTAAAGAATTTATTGGGTCCAGAAAACTAAGACGAATTACAAAATTGGAAATTAAGGACAGCAAATCAGGTTTTTCTAACACGTATAAGAGCCATATTTAACACTAGCAAGAGCCTTAAGTCTTAAACAAACAAAGAAGACCTGGTAAAATATAACTTGACTTCTATTGTGTGTTTAGAAACAATATACTTTTCAATCAATCAAAACAGTAACTCCTTAACAACAAAATGAAAATAGTAAAAATTCAACTTAACCAACATTTTAGGATTTTAGTTGACACTAATCTTCTTATGTAATCAGACAGATTTAGAGTAGCATACCTTCTGCAAACCCTGATAAAAATCCAAAATATATCATTCACCATATAAAGCATGAATAAAATCTGTGTATATAAGCCAAGCACTGTGTTCAACTTTTAAAAGATTTGGTTTAGTTATTCACAAGCTTTCAAAAAGATACATTATACATGTTAAATTCAGCCATTTAAAAAAAAATATAATCATCACTCTCTTTCAATATATCCAATTAGCAGACATTTTCTGTCCCAATATCGATGTTCACAATTACAATTAGTAGACACCCTTTTTTGATGTTTATTTGGACTATCCAGGACTGTACTTTACACACTTAATGACACAGCATTGGATTTAACCATTCCCGAAATCAGACCTTGCGCTTACGATGTAATAATCACAGTCATTCCAGGATGACACATTCGACAATTGTAAATATGGTGATTAACTTGCATTTATAGTAACTATTACTTTGCTTAAATTTAATTGATTGATCGATGACTGAAAAATATCCAGTGGCAAATATTGCATGCAGGTTCAGGCTCATAACATGTTAAAGAGAAATGAATATACCATATTTTGTATAAGTATGATCTAATTTTTAATGCACTAGCTCACAAGGTATTAGTCTGAAGAAACACATACCACCGTAATCAGATACATTATTCTGACTGCCAACTAACCAATCCTACTCTTACTCCTAAATACTGCTTGCTTTGCTGACTAAATTTAAATATTTTTGGTTTGACCCAGACAGGGATAGAACCTACACCTTTCAGCGCTGGAGGTGAATGAATACTACCATCAGTCTACTGAGTCAGTCACTTAAATTTAAAATCAAAGAAGAATGTGTCTGAGGACAAGAATGCCCCCTCTCAAGCTTGCTTATAATACGTGAAAATACTTTTTGAGAATATTTGATGTCATTGATAGTTATTAAAGAGTTCTATTGTTCTAGTGTGAGGTCTAAGCATTGTGTATGAGTTTCATAAAATTTGCATGAGGCAAAATTAAGTTAGAGTGTGGAAACGAAAAAAATTGCAACTTTCAAAGTTTTAAAAAGGCATAACTCTAAAATGGTAAGTGACTCACTGCCCAAATTCAACTCTATCAGCAAGTTTTGGTTCTTAGCATTGTGTATGATTATCATAACAGCTTAGGCATAAAAAAGCTTACTGACCAGAATACAGAAATGTGATTTTTCCTAAATCTAATCAAGGGGAATAACTGAGGAACAACAAAATTGAAATATGTCACAATTTGAACATGAGCAAAATCATCATTTCATATCTTATTGAATGGGAACCTCTTCTATTGTCATTTTCCTTTACATTGCAAAAGTAAGAGTTATTTTATCCATCAGAAGCATTTTCTGGTACACATTTATTAGGACCTCCCATTTTAGAGATAAGAAACATTTCTTTCTTGTGTATTACATGGAATTACCTGATACAACATCATAACCTTTCTTCAGAAGTTCCTCTGCCATTATCTTAGAATTCTTCACAACCTGTTTCTGATATTCTACAAACTCTCCAGTCATTGCCTGTGATTGTATAATTATAATATGTTGTTTATTACTAATGGAGAACAAAAGACAACCTATATCCTTGCATTCTCATGTATATGTATATAGCATGTTCAATTACAGAAACTGCAAATATTTGCCTTCATATGGAACACTTTAATCCAAAAGAATTGCCGTCTTTGTCCTATAAAAATAGCAATAATTCAAGGTGACTTGCTAACGCTCGTGGTAAAATATATAGCATAAAGGGGCACCTTGTCATAAAATGAATAAAAATTCAAACCCCCATGAATTATTTCTAAAACATTTAAAGTTTATAATGTCATATGTATTTGAACAATAAAACACTGCACAAACCGTATGGCAAGCCCATGTCTAACCTGCTTGAGTGCTACAGCAACTGCTCCTATCTGATGCTGATGTGGTCCTCCCTGTAAAGCAGGAAATACACCACTGTTTATACGTTTTTCATAATCATACATGATTTTGTTGCCTTTCTTGTCAACACCCTTCTGACCTTTCCTATAGAAAATCATGCCAGACCTGAAAACACAAACATCAGTGGTTAATTAACACAATGATTAAAATATGTTGAACATCAAAATTTAATCATTATATTTACTTATCATGCAATTAACTTTTAACGACTCATTCAAGTTAATAATATGATTAGTTTAACAACAAGCTGAACAACAGGTGTATAATATTTGGCTTCCGTCTTTTATAATGCTAAAGCATTTTTTTAGTCTGTTTAATATTAACTCCAATATTTAGCTGAACTAGGGTCACGTAAAATTCATATATGGTAGATACTGATAGGTCTTAAAGTAATGATAAGCATTGTTTTATGGGTATTATGCATTATTGTAGATCATACCATATCATTTTCCATATAATTTTTGATATAATGTTTACGCTTGGGTGTAAGCACATCAGAGGACAGTGAATTCTTCCACACTGATGCATCCACAATCATAAATCAGCCTTGAGGTACAAGGTGGGGTAATCAAAAGAAAAGAGGGTTATAAACATGCCATAATGTATTCCTTAAATCTATTTTCCTAAAATGTGCCCCAACTCACACCATTTTCATTTGTCTAATAAATAGAGAACAACAGCTTGTGGTAATAACATACATTTGTAGGAAACATAAAAAGTTTATGTCAGTCTACATCTACCATGATTCATCATCAGTTGAGCAAAATCATAATCCAATTAAATCTTGATTCAGTGGCAAAAAGGTTAAGAGCATAATAAAGCTGTTACAGTAACAAAGTTACCACTTATACCATGTATACATTTGTAAAAGATGGATTGAATTTTCTGAAGTGACCTGCTAAATAGGTGGTGCAAAACACATCATTATATTATGTTATTGTGTCAAAATTATCTATTGAGGAAGAGATTACACGTGAAATCCAGGTTTATAAGGAGAATTTACAACAGAAAGAAAGCTAAACCAGGTTAGAAAATACACTTACCGTGGTCCTCTAAGAGTTTTATGTGTAGTTGTGGTTACTACATCAGAATAATCAAATGGACTTGGTATAATACCAGCAGCTACAAGTCCAGATATATGTGACATGTCTGCTAACATTACTGCTTTTACTTCATCACAGATCTGTACAAATATAATTTTAAATGTTCTAGTTACTCCCTAAACAGAGATTACTGTTTTATACATATAATATTATGTCAACTAAATTTAGATTAAAGGTCATTTGTATCCTGTTTGACAGATACCTATAGTTGAATTGAATCTTCCAGTTATAAAAAATCTATTACAGTTTTATCAAGGATAATGGGTATATGCCAGACAGACTATAAGGAATCTGTATACAAGATATGGATTTTCCAGCAATACTACCTTCTGAAATATATATATAGATTACTAGTATGCAAGAAGCTTATGCTGGAAACCACAAGATTAGCATCCACATGGCTTGCATTCTGCGACATTCACTGCAAGGGAGGCAAAAAAAGCCAAACTACAATGGACAATGAATAAAATTATTACATGTACTAACCTGTCTATACACTTTATAATCTAGAAGTCTGGAGTAAGCTGTTGTTCCTGCAATAATAAGCTTAGGACGGAATAATCTGGCTGAAGTTCTCATACCATCATAGTCTATAAGTCCTGAGACTGGCTGAAATATATTAATACATTAGCACATTAGAGTACATCAATATGAAAGTAACATAATAACACAATATAAAACAAGAGACTGCACAAAAAATGACATAAACTAATTAATCCTCTCAATATCATTCAAATGTTTAAAAGCATAATGTAGGTACTGCAATTTTGGGCATTGGCAATGTTTAACTGGTGACAACAAAATCTATTGAAATTAATCAAGCAAATATATAAAATTATAATTAGTATTGATGCAACCGTATGTTTTCTAACTATGGACGTTATATCTTTGCAATATATGATCCCAAATTGGACTTTTTTTTTCTCACAAGACTTTATATGAGAAAATTTAAAAACATGTAAGTGTTTGAACCTGTTTCTATGTGACTATTTTCAAATAGACAGAATATTATATTTATTTAACAAACTTGTTTTAATGTGTCAGACAGAAAGACAATGCATAAATTGTATTGAAAGACTTTTAGTGATTTTCTTATAATTTACAGCTTTTATCAAAATGTCAACAGAAATTGAGCACAATGGTCTCATTATTTGATGCAAGATTTCTCTATTCAATGTAAATTTCTGTCGAGTCATTTTGGTTGTTATCAATTTACTATTTTTAGGGTGCATAATTTCGTGTTGTCATCATTTGCTCTTATCAAAGTAAATGTTCATGGTTTGGTCTTACCAACCAAAATTGATATCCATGAATATTAATGAAGACACAGTTATCTTTTATATGAATAATGACTTACATTTATTTTGTATGGCATGGATTCAAAGTATATTGATGTAGCTGATATTCTTTTTGTGTCTGTCATAAAACCATGAGTTAAACTGAAATATTCAACATGTTCAATACACTGAAATAAGTCAACCTTAGCTGACGCATTGAAAATGTACTCTGACCTCATGTTGTTTGTTTTGTACATTATATTCATTCCTTTATAGGAAATTTTTATTGGTTTTTAACATTTTTTCGTTATTTTCACATTTGACATATATTTTTGATAAAAATTGTACATTGCAAAGTTAAGGTCGGTCAGTGAATAGATTAGACTTACAGTTTGATACTATACACCATAATAATGATTGCAGAAAACATTGATTCAAATTGTTTCTGGTGGTATCAAAGGATTTAATTTTTTTAAGTGAAACAAATAGCAATAGTTCACCTGGTCCAGTGATAAGAAAGCTGACATTAGAATTGTACACTTAATAGGACTTATGTCTCTTCAGCTCTAGGGAAAACAGTAAAATTGATGTTTTAACTTGACATACTTAGAATTTTATAAATTGTAATATTTTCATGAGTCATATTGATTGATTGATTGATTGGTGTTTAATGCCACTTTCAGCATTGTTGTGCTATTTCATGGTGATCAGTTTTTATTGGTGGAGGAAGCTGGAGTGTCCAGAGAGAACCAACAACCTTCGGTAGGAAAACTGACAATTATAGTCAATTAAGATTGGAGTCAAGCACACCTGCCACCTCTGGGTTTTGAACTTTCAACCAGAGTGTTGACAAGCTATAGCTAGTGATACAGTAGTACGACTACTTAGTCTACTAGGATACCTGTTAAGAGGAATAACTTGAATCTAAAAAGGTAAGTACAAAGATCTGCCCAAGACTTGGGTTCAACATATTTACTTGCTGTTAACCACAATCTTTAAAATATGACTATGAGTCAAGGCTATGACAAAGCATTGCATTAACGTAAAAAATTGTGCAAAGTATGATTTTGTTTATAGAATGCAACTTCATGTGTCTAGATTCATACTAGTATGGATCTCAATAGACCTCAAACCCTTTTTGGTACTTAGTCATATTTTTTTTTGTACAGTTTTAAGTAAATTTAAAGGAAAAGCATTCAGATATCGATGGAACTAATTTGAATGTATAAATGAATTACAAATATTGTATTAAATTAATTTTATAAGTAACTACACTTATAAATTATAAGAGGTCAATTCAAAAACAGATTAAATGTAATCTAAAAGCCAACAAAAGTTAACCTGAGATTTTGCTCTGATTTCAAATTGTTTTTAACTTCATTTATTCAAATTTGAAATGAAGACTTAAAACATGCGAAATACCTTACTTTATGATCAGTTTAAAGATGATAAAGCTGTTCCACTACATCAACTTTCAGACAAGTACATGCCAAATTGTTTTGAACCGTACACATAAAATCTTTGAAATATTACATTAACATCTGTATACATTTATAATATACTGTACAATTTTGAATATGAATACAGGTAAAGGGAGACATGAGGTATATGTCAATCAGAATACAATCCAACAACACAAGTGAACATGTTGCTCATATCTAAATATTCTGGAAAAATAAAAAAATAAGGCAAAGTTTGCGTGCTTTTTCTTTATTGAAGGTTGAGAGTGGTGATCTCAACACTTTTTTTCAATCAAACTTCTTGTGTTGGGTTTTAGTCTTTGATGTTCATGATGTTAACACATTTATAAATTTAAACATATAAAACATGATTTGCAGCATAAAATTACTTACTGTCCTCCATCAGGCAAATCAAGACCCATAATTCTGTCATGTGGCTGAAGCAGTCCAGTAAAAACTTCAAAGTTAGCAGGACTTCCGGAGTATGGTTGTACATTTACACCCCACTGTTCTGGATCTAACTTGAAACATTCTAAAGCTCTCTTCTGGCATAGTCTCTCTACATCATCAATAAACTTGTTTCCTCCGTAATATCTAATATAAACAAACAAGCATTCTGAGAGTATTGCATGGCAAAACATAGTCCCCTACCGGGTAAAAATTCATTATACTGGAACAAAATGCTAACTTGTTCTATAACTTGTCATGGTGTAAACAAAAAGTAAATATCATGTCAATATCTTCAAGCATGACTAAAAACAGTGTAGAAAACTGATTATATGAGTGAATTTTTCAAGTCCAAGACTCCAAGGACCATAACTCTGCACAAAATTATTAGACTGAAACAAAAATTTGAACTTGATCTGTAACTTGTCATGATAAAACTATATATATACCAATTATCAATCAATATCTTATAAGCATGATGAAAAAAACATCAGATATGATTAATAGTTCTCTTAAATTAGATATGATGTAACACAGTGTATATCTATTTTCAAATTATAATCAAATATAGTTAATAGTTCCAAATATGTTTTCTTTCATTTGTCACAAACTAATATAGATTTGTAACTTATCTATAAAATATCAACAACTTTTATCTACACAATGTAATGTATTGAAATATATACATTAAAAAAATAGATTATTATCTAATTAAAGGATTTCTCTTGAAGTTCATAATTTTTATATATATATAGCATTCAGAAAATTAGTTTATACTAAATAACAAACAAACCTGCAAAAAAGTTCTTCAAATAATTTAACAAAGAATGTTTTTTAAAAAATGAGTTATCTCCCTTTGTACAGAAATATGGTTTAACATAGTACTCTGACATTAGATATGGTCCATAACTCTGGACTAAATCATCAGACCAGAACAAAATTCGAACTTGATCTATAACTTGTCATGATAAAACTATATACCAAATATCAAATCAATATCTTCCGAAAAACCAAGAAAAAAAGTGTGGAAAGCTGATTTGCCAGACTGACGGATGGACAGACGGACAGATGCACAGACGGACGGAGTGCAAACCTAAAGTCCCCTTTGACTTCGTCCGGTAGGGGACTAATAAATTCAGCATGTTCAGTCCTTATTTCCTTTCAACAGGTTATTACTTAATTCAGAGTATTACAAAATTTTGTAGAAATACATCAAAGTCAGAATAAAATGAAATTTTGTTGTGTGGTTTCATAAAAGTTGCAATGACAAGAACAGGACTGAAAGGTCAAAAACATTATAGCCTACAGAACTTTGTTGCCTAGGGTATAATAATGTGCTAAATGTAAGAAATGATTCAAATAGTTCTCACAATTATAAGAATTGGAGAATTGTTTAAGATACTAAGCATACCCCACTCATAATGAGGGTGTAAGAAATCAGGAAGAGTCTAATAGATCTGAAAAGTGTACAAAAGATACAACACATCACCGTTAAGCAGCTGTCCAAAAATGAAGATTTTGTTCAGCAGTATATGAGAAAAGATACTACTCATCACTGTCCAACTGCTGACCAAATATGAAATTGTACATTTTTAAAGTAAAATGAGATTTTATTAAATAAATACTTACCATCATAAATTCTGAGTACATCCATCTGCGCAAGTCTGACAGGCGGAAAACCCCAAATAAAAATATCATCCAATGAGAAGAGGGATGACCAAGCAGTGCCCGTATAACCATGCCTTTATATCATCCATTTAATTTCCTAAAGTAAGCAAGAAGCCCTAGGAAAAAAAATAGGGGATGAAGGGGAGGTTGGGAGGGACCTTTAATTTATGATGGTAAGTATTTATTTAATAAAATCTCATTTTATGTCAATAAATACGTTACCATCATAAATTCTGAGTAAAATTTAGAATCTAACGCAAAGCTGAATCCCCTGAACCAGAAGATGCAGGAGGAAAAACAACTCTTTGTGCAGAAACTAAAGGTCCTAAGGAGTACAAACTCTGAGCTTGAGTAGATAAAGACTGCAGATAGTGAGAAATGAAAGAATTTTCAGTTCTCCAGAAACCTGCAGATAAGACTTCCTCTAAAGAAGCGTTATTAAAAAGGGCCCAGGAGGTAGAAATAGCTCTAACATCATGGGCTTTAACATGCATACTATTCAGAAGTTCTTCATTAGAAGAATTGTAAGCTAATTGAATAGTTTTACAGATCCAAGTTGAAATGGTTTTAGCAGACAAATCTTTTCCTTTGTAAATAGGAATAAATAACCTAGAATTTGAGGAGGTGCGGAGACTCTGTGTTCTCTGAAGATATAAAAGTAAGACTCAGATAGGACAGAGTACTTTAGAACTTGAATCATCAGGAAGGGCTGGAATCACTATTGGTTCTGAACCTCTGCTCGGAATTTGATTTTTGTCTAAAAAGGCTGGATCCGTTAATAGAGTAACAGATGACTTATCCCTATTAAAACGAAGGCAGTAATCAGCAGTGGAAAACGCATGAATTTCACTTCTTCTTCTACCAGAGGCCAAGGCAAGAAGAAAACAACACTTATACGTTAAAAACTTGATTTCAACCTTTTCAGCAGGTTCAAAAGGATGGGTTTTTAAAGCTGATAAAACTACACTCAAATTCCAAGACGGGATTAAAACTCTCTGTCTAGGGCGTTCAAGAGTGAAATTCTTAACTAAAATAGAAATGAATTCATTATTACCAAAATCTGGACCTCCAGACAGTTGAATCGTCCTAGAAATAGCTGATCTATAGCCTTTAATTGTAGAGGGAGATAATCCTTTCTCTTCAAAAAGGTGGATCAGAAAGTCTGCTAGTTGCTGTACAGAAATTTGGAAAGGATCAATTTCCTTCTCACTACACCAACTACTGAAGATAGTCCACTTGGCATCATAGACGATGTTAGTGGAATCTCTAACTGCTCGGGAGAGATGTCTGGCTGCGCATTCAGAAAAACCTCTCTCCTGGAAGCTATCCCTGAGAGAAGCCACACGAACAGATGTAGCTTCTCTGGATTGGGATGAAGAATCTTGCCCTTGAACTGGGACAGAAGGTTGTGTCGTACTGGTAGAACCAGTGGACGAGCACAAGACAGATGAAGAAGATCTGGAAACCAGGCTTGTTTGGGCCAAGCTGGAGCAATAAGAATGATAAACCCTTGCTCTGCTGAGATCTTCTGAAGAACTTCTGACAGAAATCTGAACGAAGGGAAGGCGTAAGCGAACATTCTGTCCCAAGGAACACTCATGCAGTCTACTGCGTAAGCTTTCGGATCTGGTACAGGAGACATGAACACTTGAACTTTGTAATTGAGGCTTGTTGCAAACAGGTCTACATGAGGAGACCTCTACTGAAGTGTTATTGCCTGAAATACTGATTGGAGAAGTTCCCACTCTGTATTGACTGGGGTAAGTGTCCTGGACAGAGCATCTGCTAACACATTGAGTTTCCCTGGGACATGACGAACTACAATCTGTAGATGAAGGTGATTGCACAGAAGGAGGATTTCTCTTGCTAAAAGGAACAGCTCGTAACAATGAGTTCCCCCTTGGTTTCGCAAATAAGCCACCACAGTGGTGTTGTCCGATGCTAGAACAAGAGATTTGTTCTGCAGTAGGGACTGAAAATGAGACAGTGCAAGAAGAACTGCCTTCATTTCTAGTATTTTGATGTGTTCCTTCAAAAGATCTGGAGTCCACACTCCTGAAACTGAAAGACCTTCCAGATAGGCTCCCCAACCGAGGTTGGAGGCATCTGTGAACAGAGTCTGATTTGGAACTGGAGAGGACAGAAGTTGGCCTCTCAAAACGTTTGCTTGGGAAGTCCACCAAACCAAATGAGGATACAATTCCTGATGAATGATTGGAACTGGAAATTCCCAATCCTGTGAAGCTGGGAGCCAATGTTGATGTAGATAAAATTGAAGAGGTCGAATGTGAAGGCGACCAAGTGGAACAACATCCACTAGTGAATTCAAGAGACCTAGCAGTTGTGAAAACTGGCGAGCAGTAACTGTTTTTTGAGATAGAAACAGAGGAATTTTTGAACAAAGATTCTGAAACTTTTCCTGAGGAGGTCGAACTATGCACTGATGAGTAAGGTAATGTTCGCCTAGGAAAATAAAGTCCTGATACGGAATAAGGTCTGACTTTTTCAAGAGATGAGAAACCCCAGAGAGAGAAGCAATCTAATGACTACATCGGTATTGAGATAGAGTTTCTCGAGAGAAAGTTCCTTGATCAGTGAGTCGTCCAGGTAAGAATGAATCTGAATAGCCTGTGAATGAAGGTGAGCTATGGCTACCTGCATGAGTTTGGTAAAGGCTAGTGGTGCAGTTGACAGACCAAAAGGGAGAGCTCTGAATTGGTAAACCCTTTTGTTCCAAACAAACCGAAGGAATTTGCGGTATGAATGGCAAACTGGAACATGAAAATAAGCGTCCGTCAGATCCAGGGATGTTGTCCAAATACCTGGAAGAATAGAAGCTCTGATTGAACGATTGGTCTCCATTTTGAAATGGGGAATAATCATGTAAGAATTGAGGATAGACAAATCGATGACTGGTCTCATTCCTCCTGTCTTCTTCAAAACAAGGAAGAGACGAGAATAGAAACCTGGATCTATTGAAGATACAGGGACTTCCTCCACTGCCCTCTTTGTCAAAAGAGTCTCTACTTCTGTTGACAGAAGAAGAAACTTCTGTGGATCTTGAGTATTGGACAGTGGGATAGGAACAGAAGAAAGAGGAGGTTGTTCTTTGAATTGAAGAGTTAATCCCCCTCGAATTACTGACAGAACCCAACAATCTGAGGTAATACTTGTCCATTTTTTTAGAAAATGAGTTAACCTCCCCCCTACTGGCAATTGAGAAAAAGGAGTTTTGTAGTACATCTCTGGATTGGGTTCTGACAGTAACGTACGAGGGGGCAACTTCCTAGGAAGAGGGATTGGCCCTCTTGCCACCTCTCTTAAAACTGTTAGGTTTAGACTTAGGGAATGAAGACTTCTTAGGTTTATTACCTCCATCATTAGTCATTTTCCTCCTCTTCTCTTGAGAATTATAAGAAGAGCCTCCAGCGGAAGAATAACTACCTCGTTTAGAATTATTTCCAGAAAGAGATACATTCACCTTCACTGGAGCTGGGGTTTGATTGAGATGCTTCTGTACTTCATTAAGTGGCAACCCGAAAATCTAATCATCTAAAGGAGACTTAATTAAAGCATCCTTAAGATTATCCGAAACCTTTGCTTTATCCAAAATTTCAGCTCTTTTGGATAAAGTGCAGTTGGCTATAGAACCCATAATCAACAACTGAGAGGCACCCAAAGCCTTGTCCACCTGCTGGGAGGAGACTGAAATGGTACCTTGTTGACATCTCTCATAATGGTATAAACCGAATCTCTAAGATCCTTCAAAGTAGAAGGAGTATCTTCTGCCTCAGGATCCTTACTGGAATTGGTAGAAGAATGACCAATTACAGAAGAAGAGATAAACACAGGAACAGAAGGTTGAGAAACATTCTGAGAGACCTGAGCTGGATTATCACCTTCTTCGTCAAAAGTAAAACCTTCTTCCTGACTGCCTGGGGCCACCGAAAAGCGTTCTTCCTCATCACTGTCCTCCGGGTCACTTCCAATATTATGATCTGGAAGGAGTGAAATCACTGGAGAATTTGACTAATTGGCAATGTTCTCTAGCGTACCCAGGCGGTTGGAGAAAGACGTCAATTCAGAAGAAATAGACTGACGAAAGTCGTCCAGAATACTCTTGAACCCATCTAAAGAGGGGCCAGAGTCAGTAACCTAATTAAACTGATGCCTAACAGAAGAGGTAGGCAGAGCAGCAGGTACAGATACACTACTACAACTACTAGCTGACACTGCTAAAGGAGGAGCAGGAACTGACAGATTAGATGTAGTACTCTGAGGAACAATAACTGGTGTGGTAATTGGTCCACAATAAGGCCAGAAACCTGGGAAAGGCTGACCAGGAACCTGACTAGGAAAAACCTGATTAGGAAACCCTTGACCAGGAAACCCTTGACCATGAAACCCCTGACCAGGAAAGCCTGAATAAGGATAACCCTGAGACCAAGGAGGTCTAGACCAAGACATGGCGTTACTAGCCGAAGCAGGTAAAGTGAAGCCACAGTATGAAGCTGGCGCTCTAGACCCAGGTAAGTTTAGACCCATAGAAATACCAGGGTAGAATGAAATAGACCCAGTGGTGTCAACTGGCCTAGAAAAAGTGTGCGTAACAGTGGCAATGGTAGGGACACCTCCATGATAACCGACAGAACCTGTATTGAGGGTCTGTTGACCGGTCTTAGTAGTCACCGAAGTAAAAACGTCGGTTAGTTGACTACTAATAGGAGGGGTTCCCTGCCTTACCGTTGTTGCGGTAACAGTAAAGGGTAACGAACCGTCTAAAAAAAACATCATTACCTGTAATGGCCTCGAAAGGACTGGAAGCATTAAACTCCATAATTAAATAAGTATGAAGTTAAATACTTATAAAATATAATATTATAACAACAATAATTAATAAACAATGGTATGGGGATACCTACAATATTCACTATCGAAAAAACAAAAAACTTAAAAGTCTTCTCTGTAAGCTGTAACACGTGTGTCTCGATGCGCAGGCGGAAATCAAATGGATGATATAAAGGCATGGTTATACCGGCACTGCTTGGTCATCCCTCTTCTCATTGGATGACATTTTTATTTGGGGTTTTCCGCCTGTCAGACTTGCGCAGATGGATGTACTCAGAATTTATGATGGTAACGTATTTATTGACATAAAATCAGTATGTCCAGTAGTCTCTGCAAAATGGTTGACGAAAATTTTTCAGTTCATTCTACATAATGAGAAATTCAAAATATAGACAAACAGGAAGTGGATATTTGACAGATCAAAAAAGTGCTCACTGGTAACAACTATTCACAGTTGCGCTGCTGATTAAATATGAAATCATTCTGTAAAGTAATTTCTGTGAAAAGTGTGATGAAAATATTAGTTGGACAAAAGAACTTACAGGGCACCAATGACAATAAAGCCCCCACTTATAAAGTGGGATAATCCCTGTATAATAATATTATAGTACTTCCTCCTACAGTGGGAAAATAATTTGTGGTTTTGATTAACAACAAAATTCAAGAAAATAAGTAGTTTCTCTGAATAAAAGAACTTTTATGATACACAAAAAAACAATGTTGATAACTCTTGCAGGGATCACACTGTAGGTTGACAATGTCACAATTTGGGATTTTTCACCTAATGGCAAAAAACCTTTGTAGGTGTTTTTTCTGCCACCAATATTTGTGAGAACAAGGACTTCATCCTGATTAAATGGTCCCAGCTATTAGTATTTTGACTGGCAATGAGGTTCCATAAACAAATATTGTTTGTCCTATCATTTTGACCTTATAACTGATCACCTTTATTCTTCGACACCGTATGAATGGCAAAATAAATGAATCACTCTGATATTGGCACAAGCTTTCCCCCACAGAAGCTTGCTCAGTGTGTGAGTATGTGTTTTCCTGCATTGACATTATTAATGAGTTCCTTACCTAGCACCTGGGTAACCCTCAGAATATTTATTTGTCAGACATGATCCTAAAACTTCTGTTACAGCTCGACTTGTGAAATTCTGAAATTGAAATAAAACAGTTGCTACAATATTATACATGTCTAGACTAATCTGCAGCAGAATTAAATAAATGGAGAATGTGTCCATGGGACACAGATGATGCCCCCGCTTGCATATAACGTTTCAAAGGGGCATAACTCGAGAACGGTAAAAGTGACGCCACCTAAATTCGAACTTGATCTGTATTTAATGGTAATTAGCATTGTGTATAAGTTTCATAACATTTGGTTGAGGTAAACTAAAGTTAGAGAACGGAAATTTTGGGACATACATGCATACGTACAGATGAACAAGGGTAACACTTAATGCCCCTTCCAGTGACGGTGGGGCATACAAAAGCAATTAAATGAAAAATGGAGTCAGGACAGAATCAGCATATAAATCAATGCATGGGTGTATGTATACATGTAACATCCATTAAGTACTTCTCAATATCACATTCAACATTATATTCATATATATGTAATTACTTCATATTTAAACGGTCAAGTCAAATGGGTTAAACCTCATAATTTTCTCTGTTGCTTTAATGTGCCATTGCAACTGTATAACACTAATGGCTTACTTTATTGCAAACATAGTTTCTCATTACTCAATAAATTACAAAATGTCGGAAAATAGCACATTATCTGCAAAAAACAGTCATAATAAGTTCAATCTACAAAGTATTTAATGGAAAAAGGCTATGATAAGGTGAAAAGTAGGTTAAATAAAACAAAAGTTAAAAGAAAAATTTAACTACTCATTACAGACTGAAAAAGTTATAATCAATTGACATACACATAAGCAGATACAATTTTCTCTAACTTTTGTGCTATTTTCACATTTCCTGATCGGTGTGAGAAACATATTTCTCCTCACTAGTGAAATATCTGTTCTCAGCAAATGATTGGTTAAAATTTAATTCTGACGTCAAATTTTCTTGGTTTTTTCTGAATTTCCTATTGTGACGTCATGAAAAAAGGTGACAATGCCTGATGACGTCACATATAAAGAACACAACTTTCTGCAAATCTTTTAAAAGGAAGGATAAAAATCATTAGAGAAACAGATTCCACCACTATAACTCGTGTATTACAATATTTCTCCACTCTCAACAGTTAAATTTTAATTATTTAAAAAGCTCAGCAAAACTTGCGCTTTAAATATTAATATTTAACTGTCTCGAGTGGAGAAATAGCGTATCACACACGTTGCAGTGGTGAAATATATATGCTTTGAACAATATATATATCTTCAAACAATAAGAAATGAAATAATCAGATTTCCATGGATGAGCTGCCCACCATGTAATGACTGGCATACAATGCATAATCCACCTTACCTGTAGTGTATATAAGCTTAGTACTTTATTTGTCAGTCAACAGCTGACAATGAAATTGTCAATTCATTAATTTTCTATATCAACTGTGGTAAGTCAACAGGAACAAGCATTCTGAGCGTATTGCATGGCAATACATAGTCCCCTACCTTAAAAATTCATTGTACTCAAACAATATGCTAACTTGATCTATAACTTGTCATGGTGTAAACTATATAACAAATATCAAGTCAATATCTTCAAGCATGAGAGAAAAAAAATGTGGAAAACTTATTATTTAAGTGAATTTTCTAAGTCCAAGGACCATAGCACTGCACAAAATCATCAGAACGGAAATTCAAACTTGATCTGTAAATAACTTGCCATGATAAAACTATATACCAATATCAAATCCATACCTTCAAGTGACAAAAATAGTGAGGAAAACTGATTATTTGAGTGAATTTTTTAAGTCCAAACACAATAACTCTGCACAAAATCATCAGACCGGAACAAAATTCGAACTTGATCTGTAACTTGTCATGATAAAACTATATACCAATTATCAAATCAATTTCTTCAAGCATGACGAAATAAAATGCTTTGCTGATTGCAGCTTGATACGACCACAGAGGTCGAACCCTGAACAGTTGGGGCAAATTTGGACACAATATTCAAGCTTGATACTGTCTGAATTTGGATTGTGATCCAATTTTTGACATAATATAGGTTTCCGACACAAAATAAATGTGGTCAAAGATCTTATAAATCTATTGCCCAATACTGTGCAATTGAAGATTTCTTCTTGAAACTTTTCAAAAATTCGAAATTTTAAAAATTTTGAAAAAAAATATGAATCCCTTAAAAAAAGATGTCAGAGAGATCCATACACTTGCACACAAGTTATTGTCTGGAAACTAGAAAAATGCTTGTTTTTGGCCCCTTTTTGGTCCTTAATTCCTAAACTGTTGGCCCCCATAACCCAACCTTCTACTTGTGGTATTAAACATTGTGGTACAATTTCAGAGCAATCGAAATACTTATACACAAGTTATTATCCTGAAACTAGAAAAATGCTTGTTTTGGGCCCCTTTTTGGTCTGTAACTTGTCATGATAAAACAATATACCAAAATTTTATCAAATCAATATCTTCAAGCATGTCCAAAAAAAGTGCGGAAAACTGATTTGAAGGACTGACGGAAGGACAGACAGACAGACAGACAGAGTGCAAACCTAAAGTCCCCTTCGACTTCGTCGGTAGGGGACTAATAAAAGAACAGAGTTCTATTGTCTCCTGCATTGCACATATTCTATCTGTTCCAGGACAATAACTAATAAAAACTTTTTATAAATATCTTAGAGAAATGAAGGTTTGAAAGATCTAACAATGCAATTTTACATACAACTAATATTTCCAAGGAACAAAATTCTTTTAAAAAGTTGTTGATGGGTACCACCATGCTCCTGAATATTTTGGCTTTTCAATCACAGCATTCAAGTTATTGAATTTAGACATGCTATTATTTATGTCACAAATCAAGATCGTGACCCACTATTATATTACATAAGTATATATGTGATAGCTGCGGCTGTTTTATTTGGTGTATGCACTGTTGAGCAAGGTTTTTTTTAAATTTGTGCCTGGTTTGTTTAAACATTCCTGCCAGTTTTGTAGTTGCAAGACCAACTGGCACTAAAAATTACGTAACATAGTGATTGATAACCAAAACAGAAACTGATCCAGTGTGAACAAGGTTAACAAATAGAGACTGTCAAATGTACATGTACTAAACCATCTAAGTAAAAGTCATATTGCTTAAAAAGCAAAAAAACGTAATAGACACTTTGAACAACCAGATTAAGGTTTTCTCTTGACATCACACCCTTTCCAATTTAAATAGCTATTTGATTGGATGCTCTGTTTCATGAACAAAATTACAAATAAATTGCTTCGCTGAGCGCAGCTGGATACGACCGCAGATGTCCAACCCTGAAAAGTTGGGGCCAAAATGGACACAATATTCATGCTTGATACAGGTCTGAATTTGGATTGTAACTAAATTTTTGACACATAATAGGTTTCTGACACAGAATAACTGTAGTCAAAGAACTTCAAATTGGTTATATGCTTTTATTAGAAAGCTAAATAACTTATTGTGATATGTATATTGATTTGTATGAATTTTTATTTGTTTTTGTTTTTAAATGTTACCATTGTATTATAAATCATGTTTATTATTGTATATTTACCTCATGTTACACATATATGTGTCTGAGCGTTGCTTTACAATAAATAGTTAAAAATAAAATAGTTTATGATTTGAATTTATATTTAATTTTTTGTTTTTGTACAATACACTATGCTGTTGCGAATTGACTCCCCCCCCCCCCCCCCCCCCCCGAAAAAAAAAAATTTACCCCGGTTTTTTGCTTTTGTGCAATACACTATGCTGTTGAAATATATTTGAAGAAATTTTCTTTTAATTTCTGAAATGTGAAATGATAAAAATTGTCCCCCCCCCCTTAAATTTTTTTCACCTCCCCCCTTATCCTTATTCCACTAAAAAAATCTTTCCCTCAAGATATGGTCAGTATCTCAATTCAAATTTCTAATGGAGTTTGCAACCATAATTACCCATTTAAATACATCATAAAAGTTTTAAAATATAAAATGACATACATAGTCGTAGCTAAAATTAATATTAATTAATAGTAACTGCTAAAAATAAATTGACAGACAATCATCATTTCTTAATACATAATTTACAAGCAGTGTAAGCATGGTAAGGGAGGTAATCAAACAGTGTTCTTTTAATTGATTTGGATTACCTCCCTTACACTACTTTTAAATTGTCTCAATTGTCCTTTAACCAGAAAAACCCTTGTTTTTCCCCTTTTTTTGCCCCTAATTACTAATTGGTTTGAGCCATAACCCCCAAAGTCAATCCTAACCATCCCTTTGTAGTTTGGAAACTTGTGGTATAATTTCAGAGAGATTCATACACTTTAACACAAGTTATTGTCTGGAAACTACAAAAATACTTATTTGGGCCCCTTTTTGGCCCCTTATTCCTAAACAGTTGGGACCATAACCCCCAAAATCAACCTTCCTTTAGTGGTTATAAACCTTGTGTTAAAATTTTATTGATTTCTATTTACTTATACTAAAGTTATTATCCGGAAACCATCTGTCTTTGGACGAAGCTGACAACGCCGGATGACGACAACGTGATACATGTACCAATATACGACCAAAACATTTTTAATTTTTGCAGTCGTATAAAAAGATATATATAATGTGACAACAATTAATCAATTAGGATAAATAATGCATTCGTCAACAGCTAGAAAGGTCAAAATCCCATATCTGCATATATATATATAGTTTTGATATGTTATTGGGTTCTCCAAGAGTCCTTGCATGAAAATTGGGTTTTTTATTGCTTATTCACCTTTGGAGCTCTGTTAATAGAACTTCTTAAGATGGCAGCTACAGATGTATAAGCCCTGCAATTAACAGGATTTTTCCTGAATGTTGCCCTAGCATTTTGCTTTTGAAACTAAAAACTACTTTTGGATATGGTTGTTCTGTTTTTCAGCTGACTAGAGATATATGAAATTGTATATATGACCTTCCAAACAGTACAAAATTCCTTCCAAATTTAGTTAACACTGGTCAGATTAAGTTTCTGAAATATTCAATGGGAACAAATGTGGAATATTACTGATATGAATTTTCCATTTACCATGCACTATATGCAGTTATTTCTAGTAAGTCTAGAACTTATTGGCCTTGTACAAAAAAAAAAGTACATTGTGTAGTTTCAGAGAGAAAGACAAAAATGTGATTCCACAAATTGATATGTAAGGTTCAATATTACATTTCCTAGCACTAATGAATGAAGAAAAGTTTTTATTGCATATATAGTGTCTTGCTACATTGTAGATGTACATGTTTGTATCAAGTTACATTGTACACAAAAATGTTGTATGAAAGGATTAACTAAGGTGCCTTCACATTGTACTTAGATTTCTTATTTTGGATGGAAGCATAGTCCTAGGGTATTTATCAAATTTATATCCACTAGATAACTTGCTGAAAGATTTAGCATCAAACAAGATGCTTTATTTGCAATATGTACATACATGTATACTGCCCTGGCCAAAATTCTGAAATAATGAAATGTGGTCTTTTTCCCATATACAATGTACAAAATGTACATGTAACAGAGTTGACATTTGTAACATTGATGAAAGTTGTTTTTATCCTTAAGATCTTATAAGTGTAACATATTCTGATATAGGTAGATGGTTGAGAAAAGTTTCACCACAAAAGCCTCATTAAGCTTGACCATATATATATATTATGATATTATGCCTTCACAATTATGAATAAATGATTGCATATACATGTATATATATATACATTGGTTAACATTTTTACCTACCAGATTTTCTTTAAGAAGAAAAAAAAACACCTACATATTCGCCCCTGTGTTCTATTTTAAGCCATGGCGGTAATGTTGGTTTGATGACAGTTTCATTGGACACAATTTTTACATAGGAAATAAAAGGTACTTTTAAAACAATTGTGGAAAAGTCAGGAAGTTTCAGAGGAAAACAATTTTGTAAAAGAAAATGGACAACAGACAATTGACCCCAAGTGATGGCAATAGCTCACACTGGCATTCAGACGGGTGTGTTAATACAGAGGCTCTAAAAAGAGTGTGTCACTCACCTGGATCTATGTGCATTTTCAACAAGTGTCAACAAATGACTCACCTCAGAAGCTATCAGTTCAAGACCTCTTATTTGTCTATTCTTTTCATTCTTGATAATTTCTAATATTTCTGGATCATCCTCTGCCAAAGGCTCATTTCCTGTCCATAGCAGGCGAAGACTGTTCCTTGACAGGACAGACCGTCCAAAAACCTAAAATATTTTTTGAAAAATTCAATAGCATGAATAGTGAAGTAAAATGGGGATTCAAATTTTAATACTCAAGCCAATTTTTCCAACATTGGCAACCATACAGCATCTCCTTATTCAAATATATATTAATAGCTATATAGTGTTCTATGAGTGTCTGTGTTTGTATTAAGTAAAGAAAAAATATTCCACTGTTTGAGCAGTTAGGCAATTCATGACAAATGATCATACAGATGTGTTTGAAATTTGCAGATGTCCAGACCAGTTCTTATATACATGTGTACAAGTGTTGACACAATAAAATGTATTACCTGCTGCATTATTGGATTTGTTTGAAGGCAATGGACTCTCAAATTGAGGTCAATCAGAATCAAAAATTGACTGCAGCAGCCATGTTCTTTTTCTTATTTAAGCCACACTGGGATTCATCATATCATTTCCGGCTAAGTATTACCCAGGTAAGGGGTTGGAATCCCAGGTTTTCCTAGGCGAAGCAACATTGAAATTTTGTTGTGTGTATTCAGGGGAGTCGCGATGACAAATTGTTGCAGTAGTATATTTAGGCCAAAATCCTAAGTTCAAAGGGGTACAACTCCTAAAAATAAATGTGGATAGTGTCCACATGTGGACACAGATGATGCCCCCGCTTGCATATCATATAGTTATAAAGGGACATAACTGAAGAACGGTAAAAGTGACGCTACCCAAATTTGAACTTGATCTGAGTTTTGTGGTAATAAGCATTGTGTGTAAGTCTCATAACATTTGGTTGAGGCTAACTTAAGCAGAGAACAGACACTAAAAATTCAGCAATTTTTCTATTTGAAATTATATATAAACATGCATAACTCTAGAACGGTTGTGTATAAGTTTTATAACATTTGGTTGAGACAAACTCAAAAATTCAGCAATTTTTATGTTTATAAAGGGACACAACTCAAGAATGGTAAAATTCGCCACCAAATTTCGTACTTAATCTGTATTATGTAGTAATAAGCATTGTGCATAAGTTTCATAACATTTGGTTGAGGCAAACTAAAGTTAGAAAACGGAAACAAAAAATTTGTACTTGATCTTAGTTTTGTGATTATGAATATTGTGTATAGGTTTCATAATGTTTGGTTGGAGCAAACTTAAGTTACAGAATGGAAACTAAAAATTTTGCAATCTTTCGATTTATAAAGGGGCATAACTCAATAATGGTGAAAGTGACACTACCCAAATTCAACTTGATCTGTGTTTTATCAATGGGAGTCAAAATTAAGCATTGCATTGTATACAGCATTGATTGTAGTTGATTCAACTATAATCATATACAAAGGAAGATAGCTCCAATTTTAATAAAAATAACTTGATATTTAGAAAAAAATAAAACATTTCCATTTATAAAGGGGCATTACTCTAGAACGGTTAAAGTGACACCACCATTATTCAAACTTGATCTGTGTTTTGTGGTAATGAGCATTGTGTATAAGTTTCATAACATTTGGTTGAGGCAAACTTAAGTAAGAGAACGGAAACTAAAAATTTTGCAATTTTCCATTTATAAAGGGGCATAACTCTAGAACGGTAAAAGTGACACCACCAAAATTCATACTTGATCTGTGTTTTGTGGTAATAAGCATTGTGTATAAGTTTCATAACATTTAGTTGAGGCAAACTCAAGTTAGAGAACGGAAACCAATTTTGGGACGTACGGACAAGGGTAAAACTTAATGCCCCCTCTGCTACGGCGGGGGCATAAAAAAGTTGAATCATAATAACCTATTGATATGTACATCTACAAACATATAGTATGTCTTATACATGTATTATCTACAAAGTTTCATGAAATTCTGTTGTGTGGTTTCAGAGGAGAATTTTGCAATGACAAGAACAAGACTGAAGGATCAAAAACATTAATTATAAGAACTTTGTTCTTTGGGTATAAATAATGGCTGGGTATTGATTGTTTTATGTACATGTATGTTTTAATAGTTTATGAATACATTGTATATGTGTATCAATCATTACATGTATATATAACACAATAATAAAATAAATAAAATAAATTATTATTTTTTATACCGGTAATATAAATGTCACTTAAAAATATAAATGCAGAATTTTTTACAAACGAAGGAGAAGCATTAAAGCTTTTAAAATGTTGTCCTGAAGGGAGTCATTAAGTGGTTTGTAAGAGTGGTCGGGGTTGCCAACAAGTTTTTGCAAAATTTGAACCAAACCCCCTTTACCATGTTTACTGATGAAAAATTACTGTTCCCTAAGTTACATATCCATTGAATTACCAAATTATTAAAAAGCACTTTTTAATGTTTGGGATGTGCCTGAGACGGAGGTATGAACTTAAGATATTTATGTATACTGAGAATTCATTTATTTTCGTTGGTTCCAATTTTTTCGTGGATTGAGGGAAACTTGCATTTTCGTGGACATTTGTCATGTTTGTTGTTGTTACTTTGCTTAGTAACAAGTGGTCACAATGAATTAGTAGGCTGAATCAGTTACGAGGGTTTGGGTGCATGCCATCAAGAAATCTCGAAATTTCAGAAGCAAAATCCTGCATTCTGAGCATGCCTGAAAAGGTTACAGACGATTGAAAACTTCATTCTTAATTGGATGTAAATCAATACATTTGCAAAGGTTGGCCAAAGTTTTGTGACACTTATCATTGACTGACATTGTATATATACATGTATACCGTAACCCTGTAGTTTAAAAATTTCTCAGTCCAATTTTTTAATTTTATTGGAAAAATTCACTAACTAGTGTCAGACATTTCTAAATCTTTATCAGTCTAACTGACACTTTTCAAAAATTGCATGACAACTTGTGACAACTACCAACATTCTCAAAATTCTGCTTTGTTTGCATATTAATAAAATCAGACAATTTTCTATGTTTCATACATGACAACTTTAAAAATCTCCATGGAGGATTTTACCCGCAAGAGGACCTAAGTAATGCTCCTCTTATATTGTCATAAATATTTTTAATCTACTAATACATTTACGTGTATATTGTTTGAATGAGTATGCATGTGCTTAGATACCCTTTTAACTCATTTGAAAGTCTGTTTTAATTTATTCAGTTTATATAATAAAGAATTTCAAAATCCATGTCAACACCTCTCAGCAAATGCTCAGGGGGGAAATCCACATAAATTGTAAAAGTTGGTTTGCCAATGAGTCAAGCATGCCTAGCACAATTTGTTTTTAAACTGGTTATGACTCTTTAAGAATTGACATATGAATGAAAGTAGAACCAGCTGACACAAACATTTTATGCTTTACACCAATCTAGAGTTGGTTTTTAATGAATATGATGAATGAGTTACATTGGTTAACCTGAGGTAAATCAGTGTACATGTACATTTAAATGACATCATTAAACAATCGGATCTTCCAGTGACATAATGACATAAGCATTGTACATGTAACATAGAAAATGTATGGGAATGTGCAAAAATTAGAGTCATCAATTCCACCTGAATTTTTTTTAAATGGAACGTCAAAAACAATCCTTCCATTGTGCCAGATCAAAATTATTAGACACAGGGAGACCTGTCAGTAATTGTATTTTCTTGATTGTATGCATTTTAATATGTAATTTATAGAAAACTTAGATCGATTATTTTTACCTTTTTTCATACAAGATATATACCAAATATCTTAAACCCGTCCCGTCTTACTATATATATCTCAATACCACAAATTACCAAAAAGAAATCATAGGGCACTTGTTCATTGTTGTTGAAGATCAGCAAACACCATGCACACAATAAAGTTTACAAATATGACACTTCAATTTATTTTACAAAATATTTTGACATTCAAACAAGTAAGAGAGCTTCATATTTATTCATTTTAAAACACAAAATTTCATTTGTAAAAATAAAATTTAACCATGTTGTTCTATATTTAAAAAAAAAATCTTTATCAATTCATTAACACGAATAAACATGTGATAAACAAACTTAATTTAACCATTAATTGAATTCATTATTTATTATATAGATGGCGTCTGGAGGGGGATCACCAAAAAGCGATTCTGACAAATTAGACACTCTTATAAATGCCATAAAGGGATTAAAAAACAGTCAAGATGAAATGAAAAAAATGTTTGAGTCAAAACTAGATAAACTTAGATCGGACTTGATGACCAGTGTTGACACTAAAATAAGAGAATTACGTGATGAGTTATCAGTCGATATAGCACTAAAAGCAAAACGTACGGATCAAGTGTTGACATCTATTCAATCTATGCAGATACGCATTGACGACCTCGATCAACAACGAAGTGATTTCAACATAAATGTTAACGGTTCAGCTAACGCTAAAAATACACAAGACAATAGTCCAGAGTTATCGGTTACAGTTAGTGGAATACCGCAAACTGAAGAGGAAGATTTACTGCTGAAAGTAAACGATTTAATGAAAGCCCTAGGTGAAGATGTATATTCAAATATGCACATAACAAATGTAAATCGATTTCCGTTTAAAGTAGAAAACTGCCCCGGAATTATTAGAATAAGCTTTAGGGACCCTGATGAAAAAAGTCGGGTACTTAGAAACAAACGTAATTTAAAGATATTGAACAGTACAAAAACGTTTATATTAGAAGTAGCAAATCACGCATTGAACGTTTAATACAAATTAATGCCTGAGCAGTTCTTCGCAAGCTACCCGAAGGCGGTTCATTACGTGTTGATGCTAATGGTCGTATCAAACCTCGGATTCAGAGAGTTCCAAATCAGCAGTAAGGTCATAATGAGAATGCTGAATAGGATTTAACCTGGTCGAACGGAAGACAGATTTCACTTCTACTTTACGCTGATGATATTGTTATGTTCACAAAAAGTGAGGATGAACTTCAACAAATGTTAAATGTGATTCATAGTTGGTGTAAACGTTGGAGGGTTCTGATCAACACGGACAAATCCAAGTGCGTGCATTTTTCGTAAAGGACGAAAAAAGCAGAGTGAATTTGACTTTTCAGTCGGCAATAATGCGTTACAAATAGTGGACGATTACAAATACTTAGGTGTAACTTTTAACTGTAAAGGTAACTTTAATTTACATGCAGAGACTTTGGCTAAAGGTGCAGGAAGAGCCTTCAGTCAGGGATATAACTCTATAGGGTTATTACAGAAAAATAACATACATTTGTTATTGTGGACTAAAAAGTCAAAGAACTGTGATAACATATGTATGTTACATGTTTCATAGGGACAAAATACATCATTAGTTTAGTTTAAATGTATACAAGTTCTATTGATATTACTATTGTCTTTATGTATACTCAACTATAGAAAGATATAACAGTTCACAGTTTGCCAATTATGCATATACTACACCTATGTTATTACAGAAAAAATATGCCTGTAATAACTAAATGGTGTTATCACAGCTTCTCTACATCACTCCAAAGCATTTGACCAGACATACATCATGCTTAATTACAATGTATTTTAATTTATTGTAAGAAATAATGACCAGAGCATCTAATGAGGTTCTGCGCAAGCTTCCCAGTAGTTCCCAAGTGTCTCATATAATAAATTACATTCCTTTAATAACTTAGCCTTGTTATTACAGCTTAGTTGATCCCTTAAAAGCCTCATCTCATTGATTTAACATGGTTAATCAAAAATGTATTAATTTAATTAAAACATTAGTTATCAAGGCTATGTATTTAGTTTCTGCCCAAAGTCTCAAGAGTTCCCTAGAGCCCACTATAGATTAAAATACTTTTGATTTATTTTACAAATAACAAACATATGTAATTACAGATTTAGAAAATTTAAGGAATAAAGAGTACGGTACACAACTCATGAAAGTATCTGTAATAACACATGCAAGTTATTTTCTGTAATAACCCTATAGAGTTTTATCCCTGACTGGCCTTAGGTAAAATTATCTCGAAAATCCATAATTTAAATGATTTTGGATTTCAGTCTTATGAAAAACTTTTTAATTCTTGTGTTACTCCAATTCTCGACTATGCATCTGGAATATGGGGAAATAGGAAGTTCCAAGCAATAGATAATGTACAAAACAGAGCAATTCGATATTACTTAGGCATTCACAGATTTGCACCAATTTTAGCACTGTATGGGGATACTGGGTGGATACCAAGTCAGTTTCGCCATTGGGTAAACATCATTTGCTACTGGAATAGGCTATTATCGTTTGAAGACGACCGAATAATGAAAATGGTGTTCAACATAGATTACGATCGTTGCACAAACAATTGGTGTAGTGACACTAAAGATATTTTCACTGAACTTAATATGTTACATTATTACGAAAGAAGAACCATGGTTGATTTAAAATCTTTTGAACAAATTGTACGAACTTATTACTGTGATATATGGAGAGAGTCCTTGATAAGCCAAAGCTACGATCTTACTTAAACTTTAAAACAAACTTCAAACTAGAGCACTATGTAAAACTAAATCTTACGAAACACGAGCGATCTGTGCTAGCCCAGTTTAGATGCGGGATATTACCGATCAGAATTGAGACTGGTAGATATATTGGGGAACCAGTAGAAAACAGACTATGTCGATTTTGTAGTTCTCAAAATGTTGAAAGTGAGATACATTTTCTTATAAACTGCACATTTTATAATGATATCAGACAAACTGTTTTTAGCGAGATATTAATGGTGCCTGACTATACGCAACTAGATGACCAGGGAAAATTAACATTTTTAATGGTGAACCAGCCAAGGAAAATAGCTAAATACTTAGCAGCATCACTTTTTCGTAGAAAACAAACAGTTTACTCTAGCTAACATTCTTAAACTTTTTCACAAACTATAGAAAATAATATATGAACTTTTACAAACGCTAATTCTTAATCTATAATTATCTGTATTTAAATTGACAATCAACACGTGATATTAGAACATTTATATTGAATTGAAAGTAAAAGGTGACTAATTGGTCCATTGGGCCATGTGTATTACATATGTAATTATATTTTGTACAAATTTATATACTTATGCTGATTTACACATGTCACTATAATAAACAAATTTACTTACTTACTTTACTTACTATCATATTTGATCATTATTACCTGAAGTCATAATTAAATTAAATTAAATTAACAATCAGTAATGTAAATTAAATTATTCCAATCTTCAGTCAAATCAAAACAGTCTATACAAAATGTCAAGCCTTAAATTGTCTTCATAGAAGTTTCGAGTTGTCTTTTTTGTAGATAATTATTTAATGATTTATATAGTCAAAATTCTCCATTAAAATGTTGCCCGAGTTGGCATTATAGAAGGTGACTGGTCCGACGGTCTGAGTTGTCTTGCACCCAATTTTGAACATTAGATATGTTCGAAAACTAATAGAACATAAGTAGTCTTGTCTTAACTTTAATTGTTTTCAGTATGTTCTTCAGTGCTATGAGGGAATTTATCGGAAATCTCTGGACACCTGCATGTGACCAGCTGGTAATCATGGTAAGTGTACATTCATGGCATGTGTAACAGGATCTGATGCATATCTTTACTTATAAGTTATATCATTCATGAATTACATCATACTCTGCACTTTATGTAAGTTTCGTATGTTAAAAAATCGGCTGTTTTTAAAGAAGCGAAAAAGAGATCATGGAAAATTTCCACGCTGCAAGTCTTAGTGTGTTAATAGATATCTGGTACTCTGATGGATACTGGTGACGTAACATAATAAAACTTTTTATCGTGCTCGCTTTGCGTCATATCAATAACTTCTTGCATTTAAATTTTAATAGAATAAATGTCTGAAACATTTGACAATATTGCCATGTAAATTTAGTACCAATTTGTGTATATATCAATGTAAATTATGAAAACTTACTGTAGAAAATTTCCTCGACAACATCTTTTAACCTTTGACCTGTAATAAGTAATTTGAAATCAAGAACCGGATTCGGATGGTGCAATACGGAAAAAATTCCATTCAATCAAGAAGGGCCAAAATGGGGAAGCTTCGCCGAAAGTTGAAAATATCTATAGAGAAGAATAAAATATATCATAGAATGTAGATAACTCAAATATCAGGAGACAAAAAATAAATAAAAAAGATGATTTTTTTATTAATGACCGATAAAGAAGAGCCGAATACAACAAAGTCAGAAATCATGCCAAAATATCGGTAAATAAACAAACAATTCTTTATTTAACGAAGGTAACAATTTAACAATTACATGTTAATCTTCCATGAGGCCTTCAAAAACTATTAATACAAATAGAAAAAAAAAAAAAAAAAAAAAAAATACAAACAAAATAAAATACATAATACTGTTATACATAACAGCTTAAATATTGAATAAGTACATATGCATTCAATAGAAGAAGAAAAAATACATTAGAATCAAGCATCTTCATTCTGTACAGTTTGAAAATAGTTTGAACATTTGATCTTAAATGTATCTAAATTATTTATTTCTTTAATATTATTTGGTAAATTATTCCAAGTAATAAGACCAGAATCATGAGAATATTTAAATGTTCTTTTTAAAAATTCAGAATTAGGTCTTGGTACATGAAGAAGTCAAAAGAAATTATTTGAAAAAGGATTATCTGATAATGCCAAGACAAACCCTAAAGCCATATGGAGTTATTTTAAATCTAAATCAAAGACAAGAGAAGGTATAGGTGACCTACATGTTGACCCGGAAGATGTAAAATCTGAAAAAACGGATGATAATAAACAAAAAGCTGAAATATTATCAGAATATTTTACTAGTGTATTTACAAATGAACCCGAAGTCAATATCCCAGAACCTAACCAATTTTCATACAAAACAAAATAGAGGAATCAAATATTGGCAATGATATGGTATTGAAGCATCTTCAAAAAAATCTCCTGGCCCTGATAATCTACACACAAGACTGTTGTTTGAAGTTAAGGAAGGTATACATGGTATAGCTGAACCATTAAGCATATAATTTATTGCCAATCACTAACTCAAAAAGTAGTTCCAAAGGATAGGAAAAATGCCTTAGTGAGTGCAATCTTCAAAAAGGGAATAAATCACAAACTACAGACCAGTAAGCCTTACATCAGCTGGTTTGCAAAATTATGGAAAAAATTATAAGAGAGCATATTATTAGCCATATGAAACAAAATAATTTTCCAATAAACAGTACGGATTTATTTCTGGAAGATCTATACAACGCTACAACTACTGGAGGTAATAGATAAATGGACAGAAGCTATAAATAATGGTCATGAGGTTAATCGCATATGTACAGACTTCATGAAAGCCTTCGACAAAGTACCACACATGAGACTCATAAAGAAAATTGAGAAATTTAGGATAGTTAATGCAATCCTAGATTGGACAACAGACTTTCTGTCATATAGAAAACAAAGAGTTTCAGTGAATGGGGAAACATCAGAGTGGAAAGATGTAACATCTGGAATACTCCAAGGCTCAGTATAAAATTATTAGTATTAGGCCCCCTGTTATTTGTTCTATACATAAATGACATGCCAGACTGCGTCAAATCGGATGCCTACTTATTTGCTGATGACACCGAAATCTTCAGGATCATTGAAGACAAAACAGACCAAGATATACTGCAAAATGATTTAAAACAACTTGAAAAGTGGAGTGATACATGGCTCCTGAAATTCCACCCAGAAAAATGTAAACATATAAATATAAGCAGAGGGGTAAGAGAAGACAGCACAACATACAACCTACTACATGTAGATCATAATATTATCAAATACAGAGAAGAGAAGGATATTGGAGTAGTCATAGACGAAGATTTAACCTTTGAAAAACATATATGCGAAAAAGTGAACAAAGCTAATTCAATCTTTACGGCAGTAAGAAGAACATTTAAAAATTTAAATGCAGGGATCCTCCTTCCACTATATAAAACATTAGTGAGAACACATCTAGACTATGCTAGCTCAGTATAGGCACCTTTCAAAAAGAAATGTATTGACAAAATCGAGAAGTTACAAAAAGAGCGAAACGTCAGATACCTGGATTCAATAAATTAAGCTATCCAGAAAGATTGAAAAAGCTTAGGCTACGAATATTGTCATAAAGAAGGGTCCGAGGGGACATGATTGAGACTTATAAGATACTGAACGGAAAATATGATCCAGAAACTAGTACATTTCTCAAACTAATATCAAACACAGAAAATAGGCATAGCACAAGAGTTAATAGTAACAAAATCATTCACCAACGATTTAAAACCAGTCTGAGGAAAAATAGCTTTGCAGTAAGAATTGCCAAATTATGGAATAAGCTACCAGATAAAGTTACAAAAGCTCCTTCTATAAATGCATTTAAAAAATAGACTAGGTAAGTACTCGGGGAATACGAAGAAATCTATTATTCTGATTATCGAGCTGAAATAACCGGAAGCGGCAACAGCAATAATAGAGATAATAACACAATATATGAGTCTGGTGAAGAGGAACCGTCACGGGCGTGAGGATCCTGTACCGGAAAACATCATTAAGTATCATTAAGTAAGTTAAGACCTCCAATTATTACTGAAACAAACATCTGACCAGATTATACTAAACTCTCGGCCTATATATTTTTTAATGTATAATAATAATAATAATAATTCTTTATTTAAAGTGGGTTACACAGTTAGCTATTATGAAACTAATCTTCCCCGAGGCCCTCATGAAATGCATTGAAATATAACAAACAAACAGTTACAAAATAATCAAACAAACACATGTTCACTGGAAAAATCAAATAAGAAATTGTTATGAAATATACAATTTTCAAAACAGGTAAAAATGATGAATTCATATAGTATTGGCATCATTTAAATTACCTCAACAATATTGTAAGTGTGAAAAATTATTATGCATATAAAATTACACAGCTTCTTAATGTTCCAACACGTAAAACTTGGGAGTTAAACAGGGAGATAATCTAAGTCCTAACCTGTTTAAGGTTTTCATCAATGACCTTCCTAACTATTTGGAAAAATCTCTAGACCCTGTAAATGGCGATCTATCCATTGTCTGATGTATGCCGATGATATCATTTTACTATCCACTACAGCTTCTGGTCTTCAATCAAAACTTGATATTATGGGAAAATATTGTCAAGATTGGTGTCTTACTCTCAACCCAAATAAAACAAAAATTGTGATTTTCAACAAGGCGGGCAGACATATCCGCCTCAAATTTAAATACAAAGAATATGATATAGAATTTGTACAACATTGTAAATATCTAGGTGTGTATTTTAGTGCTTCAGGTACATTCTCCTATGCTCAGAATGAATTATACAAGAAAGCTTTAAAAGCATATTTTAAACTTAGAAAAGATTTATTATCTCTAAATCCTAGCTTAAAAACTAGTATACATGTTTTTGATCATACTATTAAGCCTATTCTTCTTTATGGAAGTGAAATTTGGAGCTCATTTAATCCCTTTATAGCAAAATTTAGATCTGGAAACCAGTTAACATTAGATAAAATTTATTCGAATTTAACTTGTGAAAAGCTACACAGTAAATTTTGTAAATTTATTCTGGGTGTGCACAAAAAAACCACAAATTTTGCAGCCTTATCTGAACTTGGTCGGTTTCCACTGTACTTTGACTTAGTCAAATCTATTTTGAATTATTGGCTTAGACTAGAAAATTTAGACTCATTTCCTTTATTACAAGATGCATACCAGCATTCAAAACTTTATTTTCTCAGCATAAATCGTCATGGTATGGCTCTCTCCAACAAATTTTAAAAACTCTTCCTGGGTTTGCAAACCTAAATGATGGGAAAAATACCATCAAGAAAATATTGAAAGAGACATGCATAAAAATTTGGAAGGATCAACTGACCAAGAATTCAGAAGGGAAGCTCCGCACTTATGTAAAATTTAAGAATAATTATGGTTTCGAAAAATATCTAAATATCATGTCCAATTTTGAACTTAGGAGATCATTAACAAAATTTAGGGTTGTCATCTCACCATTTGCAGATTGAAATAGGACGATCCCAGGGTACTCCTCCACACCTTAGACTATGTCAGCAGTGTAACTCTGGTAATATTGAAGATGAAGTTCATTTTCTCTTTTATTGCACAAAATATAACGAAGACAGACACCATTTATATCACATTATTTCGGAATCATGTCACAATTTCATTAACTTAAATTCCCAAGAGAAATTGCTATGGCTGACGTCTTGTGAGAACTTAACTGTATTAAAAGAGTTGTGTATATTCCTGGTTAAACACTGCAAATAGCAGATTTATATGACATGTTTCGCATAATTAATAATTTTTGTTATTTAAAAAAAAAAAAATAATAATAATAATAATTGTTGTTATTTAAAAAAAAAAAAAAAAAAATAATAATAATAATTATTATTTGTTAATTGACCGGATTCAGTTTCTCTATTTATTTTGTTCATCTGCTTCTGACACGGGGAGGATTGCTGTTATTGCCTATCGCAATCAACAGTATATCCTAGAGCACCGTCCCTTGGCGTCTCCTGCAGATGAACAAATTTCCATCTTTATAGATAATAAGTTAAGGTTGATCAAACTTTATTATTAATACTTTTTTTTTTATTTTTACACTGCTGGACATAAGGAAGGAAGGGAAAAAAATGAGTACTTTTAATGTATTTTTGTTATTAATACTATTTTCATTGTCTATTATAATATCTGTCACGTTATATACTGTACAATGTCTCATGTTTGTTGCTTATACTATCATAATTGTTAATTGTAAATGCCCCCTGTGGGACCATGATTGGAATAATAAATATTTGATTTGATTTGATTTGATTTGATTCGTAATTTTTTAATCTTTTTTGAATGAGCTTGTACTTGAGGTCATTTTTTCAGGGATATTGGTAATTTATTCCATAAAATAGATCCAGAATATATAAATGATTT